GCTTTCCTGACAATGTGATTTTTAAATGCTTTATGTGCTTTGACCTTATCATACCACAGATATGCATGCCATCCAAATACATTGTTAAAACCTTCTAGGTCCAAAATGTCAGTGTTTTCAAGAAGCAGCCATTCTTTCAACCAGCAAAAAGCTGCTGATTCATAATAAAGTTTAAGGTCTGGCAGGGCAAATCCACCTCTTTCCTTCGCATCTGTTAGTATTTTAAATTTTATTCTGGGCTTCTTGCCCTGCCAGACAAATCTAGAAATATCTTTCTGCCACCTCTTGAAACAATCCATTTTGTCCACAATTTGCAAAGTTTGAAACAAAAACAACATTCTAGGCAATACATTCATTTTTACCGCGGCAATACGGCCCAGCAGTGAAAGCTTCAAATTTGACCAAATTTCTAGATCTTTTTTCACTTCAGCCCAACATTTTTCATAGTTATCTTTAAATAGATTCCCATTTTTTGCTGTCATGTTAATCCCCAGGTATTTAACTTTCTTAACCACTGTTAAACCTGTCGCATTCTGAAACCTCTCTCTCTCCATTGGTGTTAGATTTTTCTCTAAAACCTTAGTTTTTAACTTGTTCAATTTAAATCCTGCAACCTGACCAAATTCTTGAATCAGTTCTAAAACCCTTGCTGGATCAGATCAAAGGCCCATCTAATCTGGCATCTTGTTCTTACAGTTGATAACTCGATGAACTAATGGGAAGCCTACAAGCTGACCAGGAGCACAACTGCGCTCTCATTTCAGGTGCAGCTACGGGCAGCTTTCATGATGAACACCTGTGCTTCAAAATGTACCACTAGCAAATCTTACCCTGATATAGGCCAAATCACATGTTCTATTATACAAAAAGGACAGAAAATACACTCGAGCCTGAATCATGGTGTGCCAAGTTTCACCGAGAAAATATTTGTAATGAAAGTCATTTGAAAGAGAGAAATGATTTGCATCAGTCTTGTGAGAAACTGAGACACTCAGGGCACTGACTTAGAGATTTTCCCCACCCACAGATGAGAAGGTGAGGTTGCAGAAGTTGATGTGCACTTGGCCTGAAAGCTAAGTGGCAAGGCATGAGTGAGCAATTTTAAAAAGCAAAACTCACATACCAAGTGTCCTAATTTTCCAGGGGCAGTCCCAGAATTACAGAAGCCATCCCGGTTTCTGATTTGATCCCGGAATGTCCCACTTTTCCTTTTTCCTCCCCTCCACATCTCGGAGAACAATTAAAAGTGGTGTATGTGTTAGTGCAAAAGTCCTGTTTGTACTGAAAGGAAATGGTGAAGCTGGCATACAAAACCCTCCCTATAATTTTGAAGGGAAAGGTCACCAATCCACTTCAAAATATTTCATTGCAATGCTTCAGCAGCCAGTTATTTCTTGGGAAATGCATGGAGTGTTTATTCCTTTATTGAAAACGGAACCTTACACAGTCTACTCAGAAGTAAGTCCCACTATATTTGATGGAGCTTACTCCCAGGTAACAGGGCAAAGGCTGGACAGCCTTACACTGCAATCTGAAACATTTCTTCTCAGAAGTAAGTCCCACTGCATTCAGTAGGATTTACTCTCTGGTATGTTCCTGATCATTCTCACGGTTTCCATCATCATCATCATCATTTCCTACTTTTCCCCCTCACTCAAAGCAGCTTACAGCTGAAATTTTATTTCATTCCCTTTATCTGTTGAATGTGTTGTACACGATGCCTTCCCTTGCACATATTTTCTTTACAACAAACCTGTGAGCCAGGTTTGGCGGAGAGGTTGCCATTGGCTCAATGTGATCAATGTAGATGTGCATATGACGTCTATGTGTGTGGTGAGATCCAACGCAGGAGAAGTTTCCCGACGTAGAATAGGATGTCCCTGTTTTCATTGGAGAAATGTTGGAGGGTATGAACTCAGGCTAAGGAGCAATTTGCTGTTTGAAACCTGCATTTCCCTCTCCACATGGAAGCAAATGGCCTTTTAAACTGATGGGTTTCTTGTAGCTTTAAAGCACCAGTGCAAAATCATTAGCAAATTACAACCATGAGCCTTGGCAGGGAATCCCTTATTTAATCATTGGTTATTCTGCAATGCAGCATCTGACCTCATCAAGGGAGTTCTGCCTTCCAGCTGGAAAACTGAAATGTTGCTGTCTTCCTCTCTCGCTTTCCGAACAAAAGGACATCAGCAGCATCTGTCTGACAGATGGTAGAATAATTCTCTTCTTGGAACACCAGGCTCCAGAATTTAACTCTATCTATGTGTCTTCCTGTAAATGAGGCATGGGGGGAGACCTGGTGCCCTCCAGATGTTATTGGTTTGGACAGTAAGCACATGAAACAATCTATTTCCTTAGGCTGCCTACACACCATCCATTTAAACAACATTGCTCCTGCACAAATAAGCCTGAGAACTGTAGTTTGTTGAGGGTACTGAGAGTTGTTAGCAAACCTCTATTCCCTCACAGAACTACATCAGAACAACAATCAGTGCCTCTTCCCAAGGAACCCTGGGAACTGTAGTTCTGTGTGGGGAATAAGGCTCTTAACAGACTACAGTCCCTGGGATCCTTTGGGGGAAGCCATGACAGTTTAAAATGGCATAATACTCCTTTAAGTGTAAGGCCTAGATGTGGTCTAGGGCACCCAAGCACTGAAGTGGCTTTTTCATACAAAAGTGCCACTCAGGTTGAACCACATCCTCCTTTTTACTTTTAGTACTCTGTGGCCATTTGTGTGGTAAACGGGATTACTGAGCACCTTTTCCATAATAGTTTTGGCACCACTCCTGACCCCCCCTTGCCCTTCTGTAACTAATAAGCCAAAACAAAGGTGATTGAAATACCTCAGGTTCTTTCATTGCCTGTTCCTGCCTCCCCTTTTTCCTGTGTCAGATCTTAGACTGTAAGCTCTCCAGGGCAGAGACCTGTCCCCTTATACTTAGTACAGATTGTAAGCTCTTCAATGATTGTAAGCTATTGTCTCTGAACACCAAGTGCTGGGTATCACAAGTGGGAATTGCATTCAGGTCCTGCATGTTGGCTTCCCATCAGCATCCATTGGGCCACTGTGAAAACAGGACTAGATGAGCCTTTGGCCTGATCCAGCAGCCTCCTTCTTCTTAAATTCTTCTGCAAATGTTTGTTTTAGAGCAGTTGAATTGAAGCATCTTGCAGAGAATGTCCCAGATTACAAAATGTCAACGTCAAGAAGTAATCAGAGGCATACTTTTTGGAAATGGCCTGAAATTTCACATTGAGCAATAGCTTTCACTGCAAAAAGATTAAAAAAAAAAGCAGCTGCTTATTTTCCAACACATTTTTGCATAGACACAAGAGATTTGGAGGAAGCAGATGCAGCCCGGTGTTCATGGTCCTGAGAGCTTGTTTTAACTGAAAGCAACCTCTGGTGGGTTTTAGCCTCTCTACATTCCCATCAGGTCAGTACCAAAGGAAGCTGGAGCATCGCGCTGGATCTTTCCAGGTTACAGATTCATTGGACCTGAAGCCAAGCACAAAACTGCTGCTAGCCTAAACTTTGGCAAGTGTTCTGCTCTCATGCACAGAATGGCTGGTAGTTATGGTACATTTTAGCCTTCCATCTACAGCAAGGGTGAGGAAGCATTTTCAGTCTGAGGGCCGCATTCCAGAGGCAAATGTGGGAGGAGCAACAAATAGAAATGTTGCCTATATACAAAAGGCAACTTTTTACACACATTCACACTCTCCTTTCCATCCAGGCAAGCAAAGGTCATAATCAAAATTCAAGGACACCTTCCAGCTGGGCAAAAACATTCAAGGAGGGTGCAAAATAGGGTTTGATGAGGGCTGTCACCTGGGGAGAGTTCAATGACAGACAAAGAGGTACAGAGGGCTGCATTTGGGCCTGAAGTCCCCCACCTCTGAGCTACAATGTAATCCTTGCTTTGCTTTCCACTTCCCTTGAAAGCTGATGCCACAGTGATGGTTGTGTTGCATTCTGTCCCCTATGCACCATCCCTTTAAATACAACCTAGCATACCATGCTCATCAACTAGGGCAAACTCTGTTGCAGGCCCCTGTTAAGATCCCTACCAGACAGCTGTGTATAGCCCTGTTTCTTAAGCCCTGTTACATGACCAACACCATGTTGAGCCAGAACAAATCTTCATGGTTCAACAGACTGCACAGAAGGCATACCCACTCTTTTTCTCCAACAAAAAGAATGAATTCCCATGCATTTACTTGAGTGTTGCACAGAATGATGTTCTTGTTGAGGGTGTGTGTGTGTCATGGAACCTACCCAGTCCTCAGCTAGAATGCAAATCATTCACTATTGTGATGCTTTTCATAGAGTTGTAGAGCTGGAAGGAAACATGAGTCCAACCCCCTGCAATACAGGAATCTTTTGCCCAGTCTTTTGCCCTTGAACCCATGACCCTGAGATTAATGTAGCCTAGTCTGTTTAAAGTGTCACACCCCTGCAGGAATATTGTTGGTCATTTCCAGAGTTGGTGAGGCTCATTTGACAAGAAGGAACTGAGCCTTTAGTGTCATTGGCCCAGTATTGTAGAATACTCTGCCCATAGAGATGCCTTCTGTTTCAACTTTTAAACACCTGGTGATAACTATTCTATTCCATCAGGCTTATGAAGAAGATGTTGTTCCACAAGAGTTACCTGATTTCTGATTTTAACTTTTTAATATATATTTTTAAATTGTATTGTTTTTTATGAACAATTGTTGCAAACAGTTCTTTTTTTTATATATTAAAAAACCTAATTAGCAGTACAGAAATATTTTTATAAATAATAATACCCGAATTTTAAAAACCTGTTCCCAAAATTCTATAGCAGCGGAAGAAAAGAAAGGGAGTTATTCCTTTAGCATGTCTCCACATAGTCTGTGCACTGAAATGCAGATTTCAACCACCACCTGCCTACACCCCCGCCACACCACCCCCTGAATACGCACAGAGAAAAGCACCACTACCACCCAACAAGACGAATGCAAGCATAATCAGATGAGACTAAATTTATTTACCCATTTGAAAGCAGACACAAGAGGTTACGAAAGATAGATATTTATTGGCAGGTACCTTTGGTACACAATCACAAAACATTTTAAAACAAGCAATTACAATAAATATTTTGCCTACTATAGATGGAGACATTCAGACTGATCCAAAGTACTGTGTTTGTTATCAATGGTACAAAGTCACACACTTTTGAGCGCAAGTTTCCCTGCACACTTCTGCCCTCAGTGGACAAGACTTTGCACAAGGTAGGAGCTCCACGTGGGTGTTCCATCATGCACGTGGTAGCACAGAATCAAAGCAATCACTTTGGTTTTAAGCTGACAGCAAAATGTGCATAATGCCCTTTTCAAACAATGAATGCATCTGCATGACTGCTTTCTCTCTCTCTCTCTCTCTCTCACACACACACATACACACAAGCAGGCTGGGTCTGTATTAATGATAGCTTGTACACACTCCTAACCTGTACATACACTGAACACATGCTTTAGCACACATGAATGTTGTCCCTCAATGATCTTTGGATTTTAACCACTGTAGTTTTTGCAATACTCTAAAGTGTTTCCCCCCTGTGATTACTGCGCATTCCTCTTCCCCATTTACAATGCAGGGGCGGGGGGAGGTCACAACTACCACCTCCAAGCTCAGAGCAAGACATGCAACTCTCTAGAAAAGCAGCAATTAACTCCTGCTTCTCTCCCCCTCCTAGTGATTGTGTCACACCCCTGATGTACCAAGAAGTAACACAGAGATTTACCCCCTTCCTCCTGCTGCAACCACGGCATAAACACAGAGATTGCCCAATCCACACAGCCATGTGCACAAATGAGTTGCAGTGCTCACCCATTCACCTCTTGGCACACACGAAACTGCTCCCTCCACTGGATGGGAGAGCTGTGTGCTCGAAATCACAAGGGATCTCTGAAGCGCATGTATGCTAATAGCTCCTTAAGAGCCCAGGCTGATGTAGCTCTATAAACAGATATTTACATAGCTTCTGATTCTGGGACCCTTCGGTTGGTCCTCATTGATGCATATCCTACTGGATCCCCACCAGCACCACCCTCCTATGGACCCACTCATCTATGCTTTTCCTATTAACATAGATATATACAGCAGCATCCTCCAAAACTTTGCCCAGATGGAAAAGAGCCAGGAACATATTGCTGCTCTTCTTCTTAAAGGTGGAGAACCTCAGGCCCAGGGACCCTCTGGACCTCTCTGTCTTGCCCTTGGGACTCTCTCTAGGCCACACACTCCTCTCCATGCCTTCCAGCTGTTAAGACTTGCTGGAGTTTGTCCTAGAATGGTAGCAATGCCTCTCTCCTACTTGCTTGGCTGGAGGAATCGGTGCATAGAAACTGCACAGAGTCACATTCACTGCCTCAGCTACCGCTGTCATGTGACACCCCCATGTGGCCCTCAGACTGAATAAACTTCCCCAACTCTGCTCTGAAGCATCTATCACTTGACCTTTTGAGCTAGGATACTGGTCTCATGCTGGCCACATGACCCGGAAGCTGTACGCCGGCTCCCTCGGCTAATAAAGCGAGATGAGCGCCGCAAACCCAGAGTCGGTCACGACTGGACCTAATGGTCAGGGGTCCCTTTACCTTTACCTTACTGGTCTCACCAAGTAGAGCTGTTCACATTTCGCTCTTGGGATATTTTGTTTACTGAGAAACCCTTCATAGTTAATATAGCTTAAGGGGGTGAGGTACACGTTACTCTTTAAGAATAAAACAAAATCAGGAAGAACCACAGCTCAGTTTTAGAGCATCTGCTTTGTATGCAAAAGGTTCCAGATTCAATCCCCCATCATCTTCAGGCAGGGCTGGAAGAAGACCTCCTGTCAGGAGATCTGCTGCCAGTCAGTGTAGACAAAACTGGGATGGACCCATGGTCTGACTCTGATTCCATATAAGACAAGTTTCATATGTTCAGCATTCTGTTTAGTTCTTAAATGACTTAGCACAATCTACCTTCCCCCTCCACCACAAAAAACAACTACGCAATACGAGCTAAAATAAAACTTCACAGGAATATATTACATAGATGCAAAAATGTATAGCTAGGTGTGGTTTTTTAATAGCATAGGTAAGAAGCCACTTGGTCAACAAAGTCATCACAGAATTCTCACCGGGATATATTGAAAATATAAAGAGAGCAAAGCAGCCACAAGACAGCTAAAGATGGGCGTCTTGGGAGCAGGGGAGCAGACCTTGATGACTGCAACATCAAAGAATTACTTGCACATGGGAACAGAGGTGGAGCTAGCTGCTCCAGCACCCAGAGCGGTGCACACGCTGTGCACCCAGGGGCAGGGCCGCCCACGGGGTTGGGGTGAGCATCCCAGGGTGGTGGCGCCCACAGTGAGTGGCGAGCGTCCCGGGGGGGGCAGTGATGTCACACACCCCTCAGGGATGACACCTGGGGTGGACCGCACCCACCGCACCCCCCTTCCTCCGCCAGTGCATGGGAATAAGCTATTGGAGATCACCACCAATAACATTTTCACATCACCCCTAGACTTTTCGGTGGACTCTGCTCACATGCTTAGCTGCCAGTGATTGAGTGCACAGAAATCAGATGACTTGACATGCACATGTGAATCAACCCCTTTGAGTCCCTTTCTGCAAAGCTCATATAAGCCCATCTCTGCAGCTGAAGCGTCTCTCATTCACTGGGGCTTGCAGGGTGTGTGCGTGTGTGTGCATGAATTATCTATCATCTATCTATCTATCTATCTATCTATCTATCATCTATCTATAACTATCTATCTATATCTATCTCTATCATCTATTTATCTATATTGTTTACATTCCAGGTACACTGAACACACACACACAGCAGCTCCGTCTAGATGCCCAGTACTAAACAACACAAGGAGATATGTTTCTTGAGGACACTTCCATATTCCCCTAAATGCAGACATTTATACCAAAGGGGGGGAGATACAGTGGCTGGAGCTTGCATCACCCCTCCTCTTCAGGAAACACATTACCCAGTCAGCATAACAGCCCTACAGATGTCCCTCTCTGTTCTGAGGCCAATGAATCAACATGGTATGTGTCCTTTTGGGATCAAAGCTGCTGAATCACAACCTCACTTTTTTCCTTTCAAAAACAAAGCCATCCAGCAATACCCCAGTACTGGTTTTAAAGCTACTTTGGATGTATGTTACAGTGCTGAGAAGCCCAAAGGAATGTTTAACTGTTTCCTTTTTTATGTCAAATTCCATATGGGGAAACAAGATGTCACAAACTCTCTCTCTCTCTCTCTCTCTCTCTCTCACACACACACACACACACACACACACACACACACATCTACATGTATAAACCCAGAACAATGTTCCCAAAAGGAAAAATTAAATGGATGATGGTGATACAAAAATAGATCTAAATTGAATCCTTAAAAAACAAATGTTTTGCCCAGGATTCTCTCAAACAGTGATTTGCTGGTTTTCTCGGAAAATGGGTCTTTGGTGTGGTCCACAAGAATCCTGGAAATTCCTATATATCTGGTCATAATGCAGCTCCTCGCCTATTGGGTGGATCAAAGAGTTGCTGTCGCTCTTCCCAGCTTCCTCCACCAACTGACGAATATGCAGCTGCTCAATCTAAAGTTGGGAGAAGATCAGAAATCCTTATTTTGAGCAGTGACACCTTTGAAGGATTGAATGTGCAGCAGAATGGTCCTACTCAATTGTGGATACTATTGTTGTTGTTGTTGTTGTTACTATTACTATTGCTATCCTGCCCTTCACCATAAGGCCCCAAGGCGGCTTACAACATTAAAACACAACATGACAACAAAATATTAAAAGCAGTTTAAAACAACTCGCAATTACATAAATAAGGCAGGTCCTTAAAATATACACCTCAAGTGTCAAAAGCCCATGCAAAGAAGTGTGCCTTCAGCAATCGCCAGAAAGTGTATAAGGAAGGTGTGAGGTGTACGTCTGTGGGGAGTTCCACAACTTACAGGCTGCCACAGAGAATGGGTCCTCCTGGACTGCTGCCACCACACCCAAGCCTCTGAGGGCAGAGAACTACCAAGAGGAACCCCTCTGCTGATCTTGGTGCTCAAGGTGGTCTGAAGGGAAGGAGGCGGTCTTTCAGGTATTTGGGGCTGGAGTCATTTAGGGCTCTGAACACTAACGAGAACACCCTGAATTTGGCCAGGGGGAAAAACCGGCAACCAGTGGAATACTACTCTGGGTTAATATTCAGTGCTAGTCCTACTCTACTCTCTTTCTTATAAATATTCTCCTTCTTACAGGATAAACAATTCTGTACACTAAGCCCTCAATTTGTGCTGGGGTTATGTTCCAAGGATTGCACCTAAAGCCAAAATCATGTATAGTCAAAACACATTGGATGCAATGGCAGGTGGGATTGCCAAAGCCTTGTTTTCTGGATGCCCACTCCCTTTTTAGTTGTTGTTGTTTTAAAAAAAATGCCAAGTACAAAAAGCTGACCATGCACAAGTTAAATGTGCGTAAGTTGCAGGCTTACTGTAGTCTCTTTCTTTTTTTGTTGCAGTACTTGATAGAGGAAATACTTGAAAGAGGCTGTCAAATGTGAGGTTGTATCTATCTGCCTTGTCTATATGATGATGATTATTATTATGAGAGAAACCTTCTTGTGAATACAGGGCTTATCCATCCTTATCCACACCCTTTCCAGGCTGCACTTAAAAGTTTTGTGACTGAGTGTGGTTTTTTTCCCCAGCAGGTTTTGGTGGGTCTGGAGTGCAAAGAAAAAAGGATGCTTGAACATAGAGCTATGAAGCACACACCATGCCTGGAAAGACTTCTTCCATAAAAGTCCTCTCTCCCCTTTTCCTGGCTTTGCTCAACTCATGTAGACTTTTAAGCCTTAATGGAAGAGAACATGACACTTCTGTGTTCTCTGCAGCTAGCAGCTTAGCAGGCCAATGGTATCAAATAAATGTTTTGGCACACCAAGCCATCTAGAGAGCAGACAGCTCTCTCTGTGAAGGGGCCTACCTGCATAAAGGGAAGGGGAAGGCCACCTCAGGTTCACTTGCCAAACTTAGGGGAACAGAATGCCTTACTGACACCAAAATCAGGCAAGCCTGAGCATAAAGCACATTTTAAAACAATTTCCCCAAAACATGAGGACTAGTATCTTGGTTGCCTGCTTTAAAAACAAACAGAAAAGAAAGTGCTGCACTTGATTGTTGATGCTACACTGTGGGTGGGAAAGGAGGAACTTCCCTGAATTTAACACTGGGAAGTCACAAGATCGTCTTGCACTATAAATGAGAGAACTCAAGTCAGAGAAGAACTTGGGGGCACAGAGATAATATAAACAACTGATACCAAGACAGACTATAATACTTGCCTCAACTAGGATCAGCTTATAGCGTAAAGGGGTAGCATCTGGAAACTCCTCCCCGAAACATAGAAGAACTTTGCTGTTTGGGAAGCGGCCTTGATTGTTGTAATACTGGTGAAATTCTAGAAGAAGAAAATGGCAAATGTTTTAATTAGAGGCAGAAGTCATTTGTCTCTGTGTCTGGGAGCCCAACTGCAGGTGGGTCTGTAACAAAATGGAGACAGAGGTACTTGGAATGCTGAACAAGGGAATATTATGTGTGCATAATGCTTCTATGACACTCAAGAATACAATTCAGTGAAGGCTATCCTTACTTTTTTCAAAAAAAATAATAATCTTGGACAGCATCCAACTAAACAGTTCTGCAATGGAACTTCCCCTCCCTCTTCTCTCCCCACATGCCCCCTAAATTTGCTCCACATGGTTGGGGAACTCCCAGAACATATTGAGAGGTGCATGGGGAGGAGAATTCTAGGAATCTCAGCTTTTCATTATTATTGTTTAAAAATGAAACAAGTTTCTAGCCCTTAAGAGTGCAAAAAAATATTTTAAGTTTGTTTGTGGCAACGCCTGCTGAAACCTCAAAAGATGGGGGTGAAGAACAGAATACCCAGGACTTAGACGAGATCTTTTTCCCCTCTTCCCCATGGAGAGAAGAGACAAAACAAATTGCATTTCCGTGCAGATTTTGAACCTAAACATAACTTATGCAGGGTGCAGAATCACACTGGCATTGGGTGACCTTCACAAAGCACATTGATCTTAGTTTCAAATTTGAGGGTGCACGATGTCCCTGGGCATAAAATTCTCAAGCACATGGGGGCAAGTGAGAAATGCACCACAACCTCCCACAGACCTCTGAAGAGGGAGTGGGTGAATCTGTTGATTTCAGTTTCTTTCAGTTTCTAATTTTTCCAGTCTTTGGTTCAGCTTCCCAAATTTCTACATCAGTTTGCATATTTTTTTTAAAAAAAGTCCCCGTGGAAATTCATTAGTTTATTTTCCTAAACATATATGTTTTTGCAAAGCAATTCTCCCTTAGTACAATGCAGTTTTTGTAGGTTATATTTTTACAAACATATGCATTTCTATGCCCATTTTCACCCAGAATAATCGTTTCGGTACATATGAGTTGGCTGGAGAACCGAACTGCAAAAATTCGGAGAGGTGTGAATTTTGAAGAGTGGCTGCGTTTCAGTTTGTGTTTTGGTTCAGAAACTGCAAATTAGGGAGGTTCGTCTTTACACACGAAATGAATCGGATTCATCCCCCACCCGTACCTCTGAGAAAGTGATTGGTGTCAAATATCTTGACCACCTCGTCTCGGTCAAGCTTGTTAGGGCGGTCCTTGTAGATCATGGTGTTCCCGCTCCAGAAGACCCGGCCCTGGCTCAGCCTCTTGATGAAAATGCCCTGCCTGTTGGACTGCAAAAGGACACCCCTCTCCAGGTGCCCAAAGAGCTTCTTGGTGATCTGTCTCTGCCGTTCGTTTGGGATCACGTCCGCCGACGGGAACCGCACATGATCAAAGCTTTCCAAGGCATAAGGCAGCTCTCCAAGGGAGATCCGGCAACCTTCGGGGCGAGAGGTTGTTGTGTTTCCCACCAGCTTCCCGCCATAGTAGAAGCTGATCACCATCTGGGAATAGCCTGTGAAGAGATATGTGGCAATTACCCATCAAGGGGTTGTATGTGGCCAATTTATTTACTTATTTATAGAAAGCCTTGTTAATACTGCTCTTTGGCAAAAGAAAATAGCTCCTGAAGTGGCTCAGAAATATCTGTGGTAACACAGTGCCTGTCCCCCAGTTTAAAAGACACAACATGAAAGGAAAAGGGGTCTGGAGGGAGAATGAAAATAGTAAACTCAAGCACCTAATTTCAGCTACAAAGTTATAGTGGCTCTGACAGGGGCCTGTCACCATGGGCTGCTTTTACTGGGGGCAGGGAAGCAGGAGTTCTTGGTATCTTTAACCCCCCCCCCAAAAAAAATAAACTTGAGTTGAAAACAAAATGAAACGAAGGCTAACTGTACCAGATGTTAACTGAGGGAGGAAGCTGAAGAGTCGCCATACCTGAATGAACTGCTTCATAGCCAGTGAGCCCACTCATCAGCGGCAAAGCTGTGGGTTTAAAAAAAGAAAAGAAAAGGTACATGTGTTTATTTTATTTACTTCTATAACAAGTGACATCCTGCCCTTCTGGTGTCTGCACACCACTTAGGGCAGCTAACATCTGTACAAGCCAACCAAAAAATACATTATTATTTTCTAAATTACATTATAAGCAAAACAGAAACAGTGGCTAAAACAGAGGCATTGGATAAATACTTATTTGCCCACTAAAACCAGTGCCTGCCTAAACAAGATGGCTTATGTATTTATATTTATAAAAGTATTTCTGTAGTACAACTGGCAGGACAAAAGTGGACCTTGTGAGCCCTTATGGTTGCTAAGAGATTTATACTTTCAGCCTGGAAGGGTAAATACCCACTGCCTATTACTGAATGATCTGAGGACCTCACTGTCCTGGCTACATTGGAACATATTTCATATAGACATGAATTTCATGTGGACACCTGAAGGGCTTATATATTTAGCTTCTGCGTGTAACTTAAGATACACATGCTGGTGTTTACTGTATCCATGATGTGAGCACCTTGACTTTCTGAGAACATAACGGTGCCTTACCAGGACTTGACTGCTGAGTCCACCAGTCGGGTATTGGTGGATTTCTTCCACTATCCTGAAGCGGTGAAGGGCTTCGTTTAATTGTGCCAAGGTATTCATCCACTGCAGAGGGGGGCTGGAAAGTTTATGGGGGACGGGGAGAGATAGAAGATGACCATTGAGATGGCAATGTTAACATTATAAGTACTGTATATGTAACCCGAAAGCAGTGATGCTCCTGAGAGTTATTCTGCTGCTTTGTATGACAAGATGTCTCCCAAGAGCCCCTCCAGAAATAAAGAGTAATACAGTGGTGCCTCGCAAGACGAAATTAATCCGTTCCGCGAGAGTCTTCGTCTAGCAGTTTTTTCGTCTTGCGAAGCAAGCCCATTGACGGATTAGCGCTATTAGCGCTATTAGCGGTTTAGCGGCTATTAAAGGCTTAAAGGCTTAGGGATTAGCTGCTAAAAGGCTATTAAAGGCTATTAAAGGCTTAGCAGATTAGATAAAGGGGGAAAAGCGAAAAAAACCTCAAGACTCGCAAGGTATTTTCGTCTTGCGAAGCAAGCCCATAGGGGAATTCGTCCTGCGAAGCAACTTCAAAACGGAAAACCCTTTCGTCTAGCGGTTTTTCCGTCTTGCGAGGCATTCATCTTGCGGGGCACCACTGTACTTATAAAGACATAGTAGATACAAATACACACACACAAATTCTATGTGCGTCAGAGAGAATTTGACTTTGAGGGGGGGGGACAGAGAGAGGGAAAGTGTGTGTGTGTGTGTGTGTGTGTGTGAGAGAGAGAGAGAGAGAGAGAGAGAGAGAGAGAAACAGACAGACAGACAGACAGAGAAGAGCATGGACATAGCCAGGATTTATGTTGGGGGGACAGTCTTTATGTTAGAGGTGCAGAACCGAGCTGTTAGTTTCATTTATTTACTTGGTTTAGGGGAGCAGCTGCCTCCCTGCCCCCCCCCGGCTTGGCTACACATATGAAGAGAAGAGGTCAGTGTGTCCAGTGCTGCTGCTTCTTATCAAGTACTCACATCTTGACAAAAGTGTCATGGATGCCAGCACAAAATGGCAGCAAAACCAGCAGTAAAAAAAAACAAAAAGTGACGGTACCCCAGACCACCGACTACTGTCCCCCAAAAGCACTGTGTGTTTCAAAGCACTTAACATTGTTTCAGTAATTTTTAAACCACCCCTAATGTAGACACACACACAAATCAAATTGTAGCTTGACAGTTGTGAAACTGTGGTTTGCACACAATCCAAATGCCAGATGGGGGAAGGATTTCTTATCCCACAAAGGCTGCATGTTCCCCTGTGCAATAAGTGGCCCAATTTCCCCATTACAGCTGAAGAACTGCTTTTCTGGCAGTTTTTTACTGTGAGAACATAGGAAGCAGCCTTTTACTGATTCAGAGATTCGGTCCACCTAGCTCAACATTGCCTACACTGACTGGCAGTGACTCCCCAGAGTTTCCAGCCCTATCTGGGGGTCCTGGGAACTGAACCTGAAAGCTTCTCTATGTGCGATGCAGATGCTCTGCTGCTGAGTTAAAGCCCTTCCTTACTTCTGCATCACTACATAAGCAAAGAAGAAGAAGGGCCAAACCGTGTTTTAAAGGTGGCTTCCAAATTCTGGCCTTGTTTGGAATCCATTGACCATAGTTCCCATTTCATGCTCAATAGGATGCTATAGCTACCCAATATGTGCACATTTCAATCTGCAGAACTTGCACTTTTATAAGTGCCACATAATGTTTGATCTGCGCTGGCAAGAAATCAATATTGTAATGTGGCGGCAGCAGGTATTCCTAGGAACTCCCAGCCTATTGATATTAGGAAAGGCCCTTTATTGTCCTACTTTCTTTGCCTGATATGGCTTTTTTGTTTAGGCAAGCCTACAAAGACATTTGATTTTATTATGTGTGTTTGTTTTGAAAACCATTCCTTTTATCTATATTCTGATTACTTCATCCACCATGTTTTTAATGTATTTATTTGCTATTTTTTAAAAAATGAATATTTTATTAACTTATTTATGTAAACAGCTTACAGGTTTGTTTGTTTTTAATTAAACAATATATGAAGCTTTCTAAATAAATAAAACAAATGAAAATTTGAAATGGTACAGTGAATTTCATTCTCGGTGGAGTGAAAGGGGATGGAATGAAGGGAATTTAACACCATCATCCGCTATGGGAATACACATAAGCCCTCCTCAGCCATACAGCCTGGACACTCGAGGGCAAAGGTGTGCATGGAATGAGCATGTGTGGAGAAGGATAGAGGAGAAATTCGATTCATTTCACATTTAAATGTGAACTTACAAAATCTGCACTTTCCAAAGCATTACATTAACTGAAGCACCACCAGCCTTTTTGTAATGCCAACTAATGCATACAAAAACACATATACTGTACATGTGACCCTTCAAAAAAAAAAAAAAAGTATGAAGAAATAAAGTGATATATTAGCAAGTGCAAAGGGGGTGTTAATTACCTCTTTCATCAAGTCATCTATTGCAGAAGCACTGCACTCCATTTCCGTTACTTCACTCAAGCTGCACCCATTCCCCATCCCCATTTTGCCTGGGAAGAAACACAGTTTGAATACCATTACAAACTATTCTAAAAGAGTGGCAACTTTGGCATGCAGTTTGGCCCTCTGCAAGAGGGTTTTAGGTATTTCAGTAAGGGCCATTTGACTTTCCACCCCAAATAATCTGAAAACTGTTTGACGATACCCTGCGATCCAGGTTGTTTGTATTCCAAGACCCCTGTGACTCGTAGTCCCCTAGTGGCTAATAAACACACAGACACGAGTATTTAGGTTTATGGGTTCCAAAAAGCCACAATTTTATTGGTTACAGATGTGAGCAGTTTGGCTTAGGCATTGGGTGAAGCCAGGCTATATCTCAACTTCCACCTATCTGCAGGGAGTCCAACTAAGAGTAAACCACCAATAAGGAGAGCCCTATGACTTACGTCAGGCATAGGCAGACTCAGCCCTCCAGATGTTTTGGGACTACAACTTCCTATCATCCCTGATCACTGGTCCTGTTAGCTAGGGGTGATGGGAGTTGTAGTCCCAAAACATCTGGAGGGGCGAGTTTGCTTATGCCTGACTTACGTCAAATAGGGGCAACCCTAGGGGTCCACATTGGGGTCATGGCATGGCCCTAGCCCACGTCCAGGCATCAGACAGGATCCACACCTGCGGATCCCTTTAACAGGATACCCTTAATGAGGAGAGGCAGGCAGAGGCTACAACCTCTCCTCCATCCAAACAAAGTCTTACCCAATGCCTAACCTCACAAAGTTGTGACGATTGCTACAAGGTAGGCGAAAACCAATTTGCCAAGTGGAAAAAAATCCTATCTGGCCCCAACAATATGGCGGCCGACATTTGTCCATAGCCAGGTCGTGTCAGAGCAAAGCATGAAAAGAGGGCAGGTGGGTTTGGAGATCTGGTGAAAAAGTGGGGGGGGCGGCCGTGCCACGTTTTAATTTCCCACGGCCACGTCCCTCTACCGGCACTGATTGGCCAGCGGGGCCACAATGGGCCAGTGACACGGCCAGGTCGGCACAAGGGGGCATCGACTCCCCATCCTCATGCCGGATCACTGCAGGGGCCTGGATACCTGGCCACAACACTGCCCACCGAAAAAAGTGAGTGGACTTAGTAGACAATGGACAGTTTTCCAGAAAAACTGCAAGCCGTTTGCATGAGCATTAAGCCTTGCAGCCTTATGGGGGGGGTGATTTCTTGACAGCTCAATTCTGTATGCTTGAAAAGTCACCACACACCAAAAACCACAGATAAAAATAAAACAGAGCGAGGCTCGTGTAATACCGGACATTTCAAAGACAGACGTTCTGTGTTCTGTTACCGTAACCACAAATGCACAGCTCTGCTTTACTCCGGCAAAGGGCAAATGCGGGGAGTTGTTGCTCTGTATTCTTATTCTTGACATCTGGGGCTTTGCAAACCGAGCACTGGGGTGTGGGTGCTGAGGCTGAGCTAACAATAAAAGGTGCCGTAAAAGCTTTCTCACAGCGCCTTTGACACTGGGATTTGATACGAATGGAGACTTCGCGGAATGCAAGACACATAGTAATGTGGTGTGGTTTTCAAAGAAAGCTACATCAGTCAAGGGAGTGGGGGGACGCCATAAGAGGGAAAAAGCACCTTGATGAATTTCTTTTACTTGTGTGTAAATCAAATCCTGGTGTGCAGTAAGCTCCATCTCCCATGAGAGCTTTTCTCGAAGAGAAGCTCCCTTGTACTTTGGGGGTACAAAACCTGCTTTGCATACAGAAGGTCACAGGTTCAATCTCTGACATCTCCAAGAAAGATTGGGAATGTAATTTCTGAAATCCTGGAGAGCCTCTGCCAATCAGTGTAGACAACACTGAGCTAGATGGACTCAGCATAAGGCAGCTTCTCCCATGTTCTTATGCATTGTTCTTGGATATTACCTAGACAGAATAACTGATGAATGACCAGCTGTCATGGCAACTGCAGGACATTACACATGAGGACTGGTGGTTAATGTGTGTTCAAGGGGGAGCAAGATCATGCACACTAGCTGCACCACATGCATGCATTCATAACTTCCAAGAGAGCCTACATGTGAACACACTCTGCATGCAACTGGGAACCAGTAAATAGACACAGTCTGCATCCCTGCATGCAAACAGTTCATGCACGTGCAGATTCTACTGCAGGTTATGGCGTACATGCAAAGGGGGGCAGCAGCGGACACAATCCTGCGGTGCATTCAACTCACAATCAGTCTTTTACTTCAGTTTCAAAGTGGTTTGCAACTTTTGAATTCACGTAGATAATATTTCTGTTTGCAAATCTCTACGATGAAGATGATTAAGTAACTATAGAATCAGGAGAAGAAATTGATTTATTAGGAAATTTACATCTCCGTTTTCTTTATAAAATAAATATAAAGTAGTTTTAAAACACAAAAAATGTTTTCACACTGTATTTCCTCCCAAAATTCATTTTCTCCTGAAGAACAGCCCCTCAGTTTGTTCAAAACATATAGATATTTGGGGCTTGCTGTACAATAGATATGAAGAAACTTTGTATGTGTCTTTAAACAAATCATCTCTTGCCTGTGGTCTGAAGCAGAATCTACTGTGAGCTACACCATGAGATCCTGCTTGGTTCCGTTACACTTACATTTCTGTTCTTCCTCTGGAACAATGCGGTAGACCTTATATGGCTCTGAGATGTCCAGTTGTGACCTGTCCGTCACTTCCTCAAAGTCGGGGCTCTTATTCAAGGCACAGCGTAACCTTGTCTTCCATGTGGCTGGTTCAGCTTTATCACCTTCCTTGAATTTCCCTTTGAAGACTGCCCAAGCCTAGAGGATAAGCAGGAAAGTTTCTCACAAAGAGGTACCACTGCTTTCTGAGGTTCCAAATGGAGGGGGGGGGAAATCAGTGGACTTTCACTGAGAACAATCTCTAAGCAAGACCATCCCTGCCATTCAAGTGCCTCAATGGGCATTCCAGTTTGTTCTTACTGATTTTTATTATTTTGAGCATTTTTTAAACTGGCTATTTCATTACGATTCAAACTGTACATTTTAATATTTGTTTTAAATAAAACAGAGTATTTTCATAGTAATGTAAAATGCCTTGGGAAAGCTATAGTTTGAAGGGAAGCATAAAAATAATTACCTGAAATAAACGAAGCTTCAGTAAAGTGTAGTAAGAAGCTCTTTTTATTAGGTGGTTTTTAAAAGAAACTTAAGACTACAAAAACTACAGGGAATAAGCCATGGAAGGTCAACCAAAGTGACCAAGAGGCTTGGACAACTTCAAAATGTTAGTTTTTAGTTCGTAGTAGAGGCGGGACATGATATAAGTGCGTAGAATTATGCGTGTTTTGGAGAAAGTGTTTCCCTCTCTCATAATATTAGAACCCAGAGTCATCCATGAAGCTGAATACAGGAAGACAACAGGAAGGACTTCTTCACATATGACACAATTTGCTCCCATTAAAGGTAGTGATGACCACCACCTTGGATGGCTTTAAAGGGGGATTTGACCAACTCAAGAAGGATAAAGTTATCCATGGCTACTGGCCATGATGGCCATCTAGTCCAAATCCTGAAATGCAGGAATCTCAACTAATGCATCTATGACAGGTGGCCATCTAACCTCTGCTTAAAAGCCTCCAATGAAGGAGAGCCCACCACCACCTTCTGAGGAAGTCCTTTCCACTGTCAAATAGATCTTACCATCAGAAAGTTCTCCCTGCAGTTTAGTTGGAATCTCCTGTCTTATAACTCGAGGCCATTGGTTTGGGTCCTACCCTCTGGAGCAGGAGAAAACAAGATTGCTCCATCTTCCATGTGAAAGCCCTTTAGATATTTGAAAATGGCTATCATACCCTCAGGATTCCTTCCAACTCTACAATCCTATGAGTTCCTGTCAGAAGCACCATGTTTCTGAGTAACAGTTGCTGGGAATCACAAGTGGGGAGAGTGTTGATGTACTTGTGGGCTTCCCAGAGGTTTGCCCTGTGAGAACAGGATGCTAGACTGAATGGGCCTATGGTCTGATCCAACTAAGCTCTTCTTATGTTCTTAATATAGAGGACAAGCCCATGTGGACTTCAGATTGTGAAACTGCACCCTCCAAAAGACTTACAGAAACCTCAAGAGTTGTGACTTGAAAAGTTGTTGTTCGCTTTTATAAAGGTATAGAAAGTATCAACTACTAAGGAACTCAGGAAAATAAACAGATTTGACATTTGCAACATTGATGTAAGGCATATTCTTCAGACCTTGAATATGGATGCATCCACCTCCTGGTTGTAATCCTGCTTCCCTGCGTGTTTCCATGGGATACGGAACATGGTTTTCTCATCATTCTCCCAGATCAGGCCAGAATACATCCCGCTATCAATTTGTTCAATCAGCCATTGCCTGAGCCGTCTCCCACCGTTTCGATCGCACATCCTGAATGGAAGCATTTGAATAGCTTTTATTAGGAACCTCTCCAGTCAATTAGTCAATCTAACCATCGGCTGCATTTGCCACCTATGGAAATCCAACATGGCCAGACACCAACATGGTTCAGCACACACACCCCATCCCATCCTATGAACGTTTACTCAGAAGTAAGCCTGAATTATTTCAGTAGAGCTTTTCTTCAGATAAGAGTGCATAAGATCATGTCCTAAAACAGTGATGTAGTTACAAGTCTGAGAACTAAGAATTTAAGAGACTGAGGAAGTAATCAGGTTGCAAACCGGAGAATGAAAGGGAGAGTCTGGGGGATGTAACACAATGACAGCTTAATGTAAAGCACAAGTAATTAAAATAATGCTGGATTTGCTCATTTAAATGTTGATTCTGCCCTTCCTAGAGACTCTGAGCAGAGTGACAATATTTTAAACAGGAAAACAGTGTGAAGCAAACAATTGTAAAATTTAAGACAAAGACATTACACTCCCCCCCCCCAAAAAAATCTTGTTCAGCCCAAGTTGAGTTTGGCCTTACTTAGTAAACATGAGATCTAAATCCCCACTAGTTTATCAGAAGGCACCAAATTCAAGCTCTGAATAGGTCTTCAATAGAACAATGTTCATCTACAGATATCAAACAACTGATATCTACACTCATCCTTACTTGTGGTACGTGGATAGGAGCAAGGGAAGCTGCCTTATGCTGTGTAGCTCAGTATTGCTTGTTCAACACTGACTGGCAGCAGCAACGGGAGTCTTCCCCATTCCCAATCCTACCTGGAGATGCTGGGGACTGAACCTGAGACCTTCTGCATGCAAAGAAGATGCTCTGCCACTAAGCTATTTCCCCACCCCTTGGCACACAGATTCCCAAGGAGGAAACAGTGTTAATTTGCAGCAAAACGGACTAAGGCAAGGCTAATCAACATGGCACTCTCCTGATATTGTTAGACTCCAACTCCCATCAGCCCCAGCCATTACAGCCAATGGTCAGAAATGATGGGAGTTGGAGTCCAACAACATCTGGAGGCACCACATTGGCTATTCTTCAACTAACATTTGATGGGCCAACCTGGATCAGAAGAATGTCCCCTTTAATCCGGCAATATGTTTCCAACACTAGTCAGTCCGTAAACTCAACATGCAGGACATTAAAGGAGACAGAATAATAAATGTAATAAACTGCTTTGGGCCAAAAGTCAGAGACATGATGTTGCCCTTTAAGGACCGAAGGAGCTAAGCCTTCAGAAGATCTCCTATGCTTTCAAAAATAGCTTAAAAGTGGGAGGGGTGCAAAATCGAGGCCACTATGCTGCATGAAGACATTCAATTCTTTCCTCATGTCAAGTTCCTGACCTAAATTGCTCGTCCACCCAAAGAAGCCACCTGATGCCCCATGGTGGGAAACATACAGTACAGTACACACAAACAGAGAGAACCAGGAACAAAAAAAGACAGCTGGAATTTGATCAAACTCTTCATCCAAGGAAATCATAAAATCAGGGGATTTTAGAGGTAGAAGGCCCCTGAAGGTCATCAAGTCCAATCCACAGCTCAGTGTAATAATCTACAGCATTCCTGCAAGATGCCCATCCAGCCTCTGCTTAAATACCTGCAGCAAAAGAGGCAGCATTTTCCACTATTGAAAAGATCTTACTGTTAGAAAATTTCTCCTAGCTGAAACCTGCTTGCCTACCATTTCCACCCATGGGATGTAGAACAGGTTTGTTCCATCTTCTGTAGTCAACTGTCAGCTCTCCCCTTAGCTTACCTCCTCCAGGTAACATGGCCAACTCTTTCAACCATCCCTCACAGGGTTTGCGGTCCAAACCCCATCACCATCCTAGTGGACGTGCTCTAGCCCAGGGGGCAAACTATATTGTGGACTCCAACTCCCATAATCCCTAACCACTGCCCATGCTGTTTGGGGCTGATGGGAGTTGTAGTCCTCAGTAACTGGAAGGCAGCTCATTGACTGTCCCTGCTCTAGCATTTGGGATGGCTAGACCTTAGGAACTGTTCCAAGTAGTGTGCAGTTGTTTTGTAATCTAGAAGAAATTAAACCTTTCCCTTGATAAATAATTTACACAAAAATGATTTGAGACCAAATCTCCAGCTAATTTATTATCATTGGAAACAGGCCGTATACAGAGCTAGATACATAGAAAGGCAGACCAGCAGAATCTGAGCACTAAAAAGAGAGGTGAAAAAGTCAAGCAATGCAAGTTCCAATTAGCAAAGTTGTGTCACGGAGACGCCCCCAGATGACTGTCTTGTCAGAAGGGAACTCACTTTATTGTGCAATGCAATCCTATGCTTACCTACTCAGTTTAATGAGATTTACTCCCAAGTAAGTATGCATAGCATTGCAGAATTAGAAGGGACCGCAAGGATCATGTAGTCCACCCCTCTGCAATGCAGGATCTTTTGCCAATGGCCCTGATATTAAGTCTTACGCTCCACCAGTTGAGCTACTCTTCCTGTAAATACACAGGATTGCAGCTGTAATCTTGAGTTATTTGCAACAGATGAGAAACACGAAGGCCGAAGGCTAGTGTCTGTAAACAAGGATTCCATTTCAAGTCATTATTTGCATTTTTTAAATGCAAGCCACTAGGAAACCTTTTAGGTAACAAGCGACTAATATGTTTAACAAATCATGAATGTATTATTCTAATTATTATTAATTTTCTAGCCTTCTAGCTCACTACTGTCTACACTAACCGGCCACAGCTCTACAGGCTCCAGGGTTTCAAGCAGGGAATCTTTCCTAGCCCCACCTGGAGATGGAAGGGGTTGAAGATTGAACCTTTTGCATGCATACCAGTACCTACACAATTGGTCTGAATTTGAAGGGCTCATCTTCTGCAATTACTGCCTGCTTCACATAGCCACACTTAATTGTAAACCAAGATACCACGCTGAAAATTCATTTTAGAATCTGAATTTTTGAATGTTTCTTCCAGAAAAGAAGTAGTAGATATACTAAGTCAAACAAGGAGGACTCTGTATGATCATTTTGTTTTTAAACCAACTAAGAAGAACTACTATAATCATTGTATTACTCCTTGTACATGTTACTGGACAATCTTTTATATAAGCACATTTTAGTACATGAAGAAAGTTACACTTTTTAGAATTTTTATTAGTCTATTTTATCCCATTTTATACAGTCCAAGGCTACTTGTGCACTCCTTTGCACACTTGCATGGGAATCAGAAGCCCATACAGTGGGTTCAACAATAGGCTTAATACAGAAAAGGGGTGTCCCAAGTTTATTTACTTGTTTTATTTAACAAGATTTATATACTGCTTCATCTGGGAAACCTCTAAGTACTTTACATAAAATAATATAAAATATTCATAAGAATATACTGATAAAATCAACGGACCTTAAAAAAATAAATAGAAATAATAATCAAAATGTTGATAAAACCAACAGTTTTAAAAACATACATGATAAAATTACATGTTTGGGTAGGCTTACAAACAAGGTTTTTTAGCAGGCATCAGAAAAAGTACAGCAAAGGTGACTTTCTAATATTAATAGAAATCAAGTTATTTGTGATGTGTTTTGCATAGGGTTAGCAAGGTGTGAATCTGTTCTGAATTTCCAGTACAGAACATGGTTTTTTTTTAAAACCCATGACACAATTTCTTTTAAATTCCACTCACTCAAAACACAGTGGTACAATATAAGCACACAACACAGAGAGGTGAGAGACTTACAATCCTATGCATCCTTTCTCAGAAGCAACAACACAATGCTAAGTAAGTTTACTCAGGAGTAAGTCCAATGACATTTACTGCCCGGAGAGTGGCTTCAGCCAACTGACTTTATTCTGTCCTGAGACTTCTCTCTTAATCTAGATGGCAGTCAACAAAACTCCACAAAGTTCTCATACATAGATTTATTGAAGATCAAAAGGCACATGTAGAAATATGTACTCACATTCCAATAGGCTGTTCTTTGACTTGCTACCAAATAAATGTGCATTGAATTAAAGAATACATATTATTCAGAGCTAGATTATTAATATTAATGATATTAACAGCAAACATAATAATAAGAATAATTCAATTCCAAGTTGGTAAGAATAAGAAATATGAAAAAATTAGGGAAGCATGCAAAAATAAACCCGTTTCACAAGGAGGCAAATATTTATTATGATTATTTCATTTATATCCCGCCCTTCCTCCCGAAAGAGCTCAGGGTGGCAAACCGATGCACAGTTTAAGAACAAAAATCTTCAGGTCTGGCAAGGTCTAATAGCTAAGCAAAATTTTGTGCCCCTTATTAGTAGTCTGGAAGCCCCCAGGCTAAATTGCTATTTTCGCTTTGCAAGAAAATAAAAGTTAGCCGGTAACTCCAGCAAAAGGAAAGTACTGTACGCCTGGACACACAGAGCACTAACCTCCACATCTGCGCCGGTTGCTGATCTTTATCTACGCTAGATACCAGGTCATGGAAGATGAAACAGAAGCTCGCCCTGCCAATATATATGTATATCTATTTCTATTAGAGCCTGGAGGATATGCAGTTTCCTCCCTCCGGAGGGGGGGTGTCTCTGAACCAATGGGAAGAGAGGAGGAGGCGGGCTGGCCAATCAGGAGGGGCCAGTACAGCGTTCCTTCTTCTCACTACATTCTTTTCCGAGAAATCGGCAGTGTCGCTCGCTCGCTCTCTCGGGAGTCCGTTCGAGAGTACCAGTCCAAAGTTCCATCTCCGCGTCAACATTCGACTCCCAAGTCAACGTTCCATTGTCCCCCTGTCCTTTCACTTTCTTTGCTCCGCCCGCGCGCCTCTTAATTCTGACTCCTCTAAAAATCCCCCTGCGCCCACGTGTCGAAAGTTTGGGGGCAGGCTGGATTTCATGACAGCCTGTGCGCACTCTTTAGTTTTCCTAGTCCCGGGTTTGTTTGATTGTTCGTTTGCTGTTTGTTTTTAAAGATTTTGATAGTGGCATCCCTAGCCCCCGCCCCCGCGCTCACCTTTGTTTCTGCAACCTTCTCATTGATTTAAAATGATAGTATTTTTTAGAAAGCGGTTGGACTGATTCGATGCATAATCTAGATAGATTCTAGCAGCTGCTGAGCCTTGATGAAAGACTAACTTGCCAAGAGAGGCATGGGGAGGTTTTGACTGAGCCTTCAGGAGGTGAAGAGGGGGAATTTCCATAGGAAGGCCAAGTTTTATTTGGAAGCTGGAGTCTGGGAAATCCCGAGCATCTGATAGAAGAAGAAGAAGAAGAGTTTGGATTTGATATCCTGCTTTATCACTACCTTAAGGAGTCTCAAAGTGGCTAACATTCTCCTTTCCCCTCATCCCCCACAACAAACACTCTGTGAGGTGAGTGGGGCTGAGAGACTTCAGAGAAGTGTGACTAGCCCAAGGTCACCCAGCAGCTGCATGTGGAGGAGCAGAGGCGCGAACCCAGTTCCCCAGATTACAAGACGCTCTTAACCACTACACCACACTGGCTCCCGGGGATGGGTAGGCAAACCTGCCTGATAAGCAGGAGTTTTTATCAAACTGTGTGAGGCAAACTTGCTGTTGTTGTTTAGTCGTTTAGTCGTGTCCGACTCTTCGTGACCCCATGGACCAGAGCACGCCAGGCACTCCTGTCTTCCACTGCCTCCTGCAGTTTGGTCAAACTCATGCTGGTAGCTTCGAGAACACTGTCCAACCATCTCATCCTCTGTCGTCCCCTTCTCCTTGTGCCCTCCATCTTTCCCAACATCAGGGTCTTTTCCAGGGAGTCTTCTCTTCTCACAAGGTGGCCAAAGTATTGGAGTCTCAGCTTCAGGATCTGTCCTTCCAGTGAGCACTCAGGGCTGATTTCCTTAAGAATGGATAGGTTTGACAGACACCCTCAAAAGACCCAGGGCCTGAGGTGCTACTTAAAACACATGTGCCTGCAGCCCTTCAAGGTCTGAGGCAGAGAGCTTTTCCATCACCAACTACTTGATCCCTGGAGATGCCATAACCTGTATCAGGAGTCTGCTGCATGGCCTCCCCAACCACCCACACAACACACTGTGTTACACAGATGTGAGATTCATTACTTTTTGGGTTCCTGGGCCAAAGCTCGAGTCTGTTAGAATCAGAGCTGGACTAACCACTAGGCACTATATATCCTATGGGCCCCTTCCAGCATGTCAGAATTCCAGGTATTGCTCTGCAACCTGTGGTTGGAATGAGAAAGTCCCTGCCATTTAAGAACAAAGGAAAAGTCTGGCTTCTGGATCAGGCCAAAGAACCATCTAGACCAGCATCCTGTTCTCACAGTGGCCCACCAAATGCCTATGGAAAACAGCCCAATAGCAGAACTTTACAAGCTGGGCTCAGCCTGCTGCAAACTGCAGTATTGGTGAGACATCAGCCATCTTAAATTTTCCAATAAGATCTCTTTACATTTATGCAAATTTGTGGCCTGGGCCCATGCTCCAGGTCCTCTACATTCCTATTAATGCCCTTACCTGGCTGGATCAGATCAAAGTCCACCCAGCATCCCACTTCCAACAGTTGCCAACCCATCCATAACCAGGTGGCATGAAGGTTGTTGCTCTCCAGCAACTGGTGCTCTGAAGCCTCTGACTCTGGAGTTTTTGTATGACCATCTTGACTAATAGTCACTGATGGACCTCTTACTATGTGAATTTATATAATATGCCTTCTGAAGGCATATAGGAGAAAATAAACTTGACAATGCCAAGGGAAGGACAGTAGTTCAGTGGCAGAACACAGGCTTACCATGCAGAAGGTTCCAGATTCAATCCCCAGCATCTCTAGGCTGGACTGGGAATGTCTCCTGCCTGAAGCTCTAGACATCCACTGCCAGTCAGTGTGGACAAAACTGAGCTCAACAAACCAATGGTCTGCCTCAGTATAAGGCGGCTTTCTATGTGCTTAGTGCAGGAGTTGACATTTGTAACACTAATGAAATGCCTCACCATCTGTTGAGTAACAGGATATCTAATAATAGGGCCACCTTTATATTCAGAGGCACAGGAGTATCTTCATAAGGATCTGAGAAAGCTCATCCATGTGCAGACTTGACTCTTTAATCATCATTACTTAATCCATTGCCAGGCTCGGTTCTTTTCATGTGTATGGTGACACCTACTGTCTGCAACCAGATAAGAGGGTTATTCCAAACTATGTTGCTGGGGGAAACAAATCTTCACAAGGAAGTGAAGTTAGTCCAAGTCATCGTGGCTTCAGCAAAACTCTCTCCTTATTTCCTGGAAGTTGATTCATCACAACATGTTTTCCTCCCACTTCCTGGAAACCAAAAGGCTGGGTTACCGTGATCACTGACACGACAATGATTATAAAGTCCTAATGGCAGGGGTAAGTAATGTGGTCCCCTGTAGCTGTTATTGGACTGTATCTCAGACCAAGCCAACATGGTCAGTGGCCAGAGATCCTGGGAGCTGGAGTCTAACAACATCTAGAGATCCACCAGTTCCACATTCTTGTCTTGCTGATTTCCATAGAGACTGTCCAAATAAATGTTTTTAGAAAAATTGTTATTACAAGCTTGGAGCAGATAGCATTTTGCATTGTTTTGTAACAGGAAAGCTGTTGTTACACCATGCCCATGTTCTTTGATTTTCCATGGAAAAGAGGAACACACTCAGATTTGATTTTTGATTTATTCAAATGTTATAGGAATTCTAAGGTATTATATATGTGTGTGCAGATCGAGCAACCTTGCAGATGTTTTGAACTACAACTCCCATCAGCCCTAGCCAGCATATCATCAGGTTGTAGGTTGATGGGAGTTGTAATCCAGAACATCTGATGGGCATCAGGGTGATGGGAGCAATAGTTCAGATCATCTAGTGGGCATCATGTTGGCAAAAGCTGAGGTGGATTTTCACTCTTAATTTAAAATGCTCCTGTTTGACCAGGGCATCCTTATACAGCCTCTATCACTCGGTGACACCTATTGTAAATGTAATCTCTGCTTATCACATATCTATTATAACTTCCTATTCCTACCAAAATCAGCCTCTCTTCTCTTTCTAATGCACATGTTTCACTGGTGGCTTCCTGCACCATTTACAGAGCAACCAGACACACTGTCTGGGCTTTTGCCTAACTTCCTCCCCAAGCCACTTTGATTAACAGCAGAATTTGCAATTGCTTCGCAAATTGGCTCCGGCCGGTCACTCTCTCAGGGAGTGAAGGTTACTGGCAGTGTCTTCCAGCAGCTGCTGTTTATGTATTTATTTATTTATTTAGCTTTATTTTGCTGCCATTTTTAAAGGCCAAGGAGATGCAGGCCAAGGAATAATGCAAAGAGCACGTAGTTCTACTCCTCCTCCACCAAATAGGTGAATGTAAAGCTGGATTTAACAGCATTCCTCCCAGCATGTATGCATTATGCTATAATCTTGGAAAGAGGGAGCTTTCACAGGAGCTGAGACTGAATAACCTTAATGCTAATTTGGGGGGAAACCCTGGATTAATCTCAACCTCTTCAGACTTTGCCATTTTAATAATTGGTGCTCCCAAGTGAAACTGATAAGGATCTCCTCCTGTCTTAGCATTAAACGTTAGTCAGTACTGAACCAAAGGTCAGTTGTAAAAATTACACCAGGGAAGAATAAAAGTAAGAAGTTATAAAACATTTGTTCAACTGATAATTTGTAGCTTTCAGCACACAAAGCATAAGATAGAAGATGGGATTTCCTATGCAACTTGACTTCTGCTGGTAGAAACGTTTACCAGGAATAGACTTTTAATTATCTAACGAAACAGAATCAAGCTTTGTGCCTGGCACAAAGGCATAGAAAGTAAGGTTGACCTGGGTAATATTTTACATGAGTCGATCACTGTTATATTTCATTGCATGCCACTTAAAAACTACAGTGGTACCTCAGGTTACATACGCTTCAGGTTACATATTCCTTAGGTTACATACTCCGTTAACCCAGAAATAGTGCTTCAGGTTAAGAACTTCGCTTCAGGTTGAGAACAGAAATCGTGCTCCGGCGGCGCGGCAGCAGCAGGTGGCCCCATTAGCTAAAGTGGTGCTTCAGGTTAAGAACAGTTTCAGGTTAAGTACGGACCTCCAGAACTAATTACCGTAAGTACTTAACCCGAGGTACCACTGTACAGTGTTAAGCAGTATGGAAATTGTTGGAATAAATAACAAATAAACTGAGGTTTTCATTTAAGTGATATAGAAACCATTTTAGGGACACGGGGAAAACGCCAATATTCTTTCCCCAACCTTTGAATCTGAAATAAACTTGAATCATAAATAATATGATTTCCCCATTCTTGGGACTACCTAGGAAACTCAACAAACCTACTGTACATGGAATTGCATGTGAAGAGTGTAGCTGGCTATTTAATGGGACACAGCAGTGGCCAGCCTGAGGAATCTCCATCCACATTGGGCCTGCCCATAAAAAACCAAGCCTAGGGTGATGTCATCGGCAACCCTTTTCTGCGTGAGACTTCTCTAGGAGAGATGAGATTTTGCCTGGGCACTGGGTGAGAGTCAAGGTGAGTGGGTGGCATTCCAGGTGACAGCCAGGAGGCTGAGAGGTAGGGTATGTCCAAATGTGAAAGAACTGATATCAGTTTATATTTATTAGTAATTTTGTATTAATACAACTTTTCATAAAATAACTGTATATTTTTGTAATATGGAACTCTTAATCTCAGGGTCTTGGGTTTGAGCCCCAAATCTGATGAAAGATTCCTACATTGCAAGGGGTTGGACTAGATGATCCTTGTGACCCCTTCCAACTCTACAGTTCTGATTCTATAACTTGCTGTACACCACTTAGAGATATTTTAAAATATATTAAGCAGTATGGAAATCGCATAAAAAGAAAGAAAGAAAGAAAGAATTGCTTTTAGTGCATTTTATATTTATTGGTATTTTGGAATATGGCTTTCAGCAACAAAATACACAACAGCTAACACCAAGCTGCTGGTGTTTTGCTGGCTCTGAATGAAAAGCACTGCAAGATTCAAGCATGTCCTGGAAATTTAGTTCTGTGCAATTAAAGCCCTGTTGGATTAAAGCCCTCTTGCCACCCTAGTGCAACAAATCCACTTAAAAAAAGGAGATTTGTAAACGCCCTGCAAGCAAATAAGGAAGAATGTTTATTGTGGTATAAGCTCCCTGCAAAGAACTCAGAATGAATACTCAATAAAGATTGAATATAACCTAAGCTCTGTAATCAGATTGAATGCTCAATAAACAGATTGTCTGGAGGACCTCAGAAATGAAAATGCCTGGACTCAAGCCAAAAGCCCTCCACGTCACTTGGGAAAGCACCCCCAATACCAATGAGCCAGTCAACTTCCATCTGCTCATCATGCTAGATTCAATGTTGTTGTGTCTCAAATTTCTCTTCCTGGAAACCTCATCTTTGGCTCTAAACCATCATCTCACTTTCTCTCATTGACTTCAGAAAGCCCCCAATGGCTGTGCTAATCCCAACTACCAGGGGCAACCCAAAGAGAGACAACAGATGCTACCTAACAAGGCCATACAACAAGCCTGTGGCAGAGACGGGGGTGGGAAATAGAGTGAGTTTGACTCTGAACCACTGAGTAATGCCAATTGCACCCACAACATGTCCAAGATGCAGCTGATCTATTCACTCCTCACTGTGGGTCAGAATAACTAAGCTGTGTTCTCCTTAAAGAGATAACAGGCAGAGTTCTTCCAAGTCTTTAATGAGCTCTTGCTATCTATTCATCCACCGGCTGTGGCTGCAGCTGCTGTCATAGGTGGTATGTGGCTGAGAGCTAGTTTGGCTCGGGGCATTGATCCAGTTAGTTTCTCTGAGTCCACCTTGCTGCTGGTTTGCTTTCTCTTCTTGCTGGGAAAGTAAGCACTGCAAGTCCTCTTGGTCACTTAGTGGATTCTTGCCATACTCCTGCTGAATCCAGGCCCTGTACTGTCAAGACAAAATCCCAGAGAAGCTGCATAAGATATGAAGGATGAGCAAAGACAATGCAGGCAATGCAGGTAAAACCAATTGGCACAGTGAAGCCTTTCCCAAGTTGGTGCTCTCCAGATGATTTGGACTACAACTCCCATCAGCTTCTACTGGCTGGGGGCCAGTGGGAGTTGTAGTCTTAAGCGTCCAGTGGGCACCAGGATGAGGAAGACTGGCCTAACAGGTGTATGTCAGAAGCACCTGGCCTTATACAATTATGATGAAATGACAAGTGAATGCTGTAGTCTATTTTGCAAATGGATTCTCACTACATTGTTCAAATAGCCACCTAAGTGGGGAGGTTGTCATTGCCCACAGCAGTTTCTCTGGTTTGTATCCCCTGCCTTATGTTATTATTAGCATCCTACTCAATATCTCCTCTTTCTCCCCTCCTCTCTTGTCTGCTTGCTGTGCAAAAATATGACAATTTAAAAAAAAAATATTTGAAAAAGCAGCAGCTGTGTTTTAAATGCAGAGTCATTGCTGTTTGTTTTGAGCAAGACATTTGAGCTAGTTAAACAGGGGGGCAGGGAACTCACACCCTGTGTGTTCAATTCAACTCAGAATAAAAGTTGCAGGAACTTACCTAAAACCATGTGAGTAAAGAATTAGGAAATAATGAATACATAACCCTTACAGCTGATTCCCCACGCAGGCAGGATCCCTTGTGAGCGCCACCTCCCACGCACAGCTGTGCTAATGGTCCCCTGATCATTCATGTCCTTAAGTGGGCTACCCCCAGCCTATTGGGGGACTTCCAGTGGGATTTTTTTTTAAGATTGCATGTAATAATATATCTGCCCTCTGGGCCATGGAAATCTAATGCACAACTTTTATTCTTTTAATCAGGAAAGCATGCAATGTTTTGTTTCAAGGCGGAGGTGCAATGCTGCTAGCTAGTCACACAGTAAAAAGGAAACTTGGTTTATTTCCTATCAAGGACTTGCAAGTAAACAATGTGATCCATAACCCCAAACTGCCTCAAAGTAACCGATCCTGCATTCACGGCAAAAGTCAAGTGTCATTCTGCTTGGGTGGGTGGAGGACTCTGTTTTGCTTGCACTTGGTTTTTTGTTTTACTAAGTCTTTGGCTTTCAGGGAAATTGCCTGTTTTCTAGAGATATTTTTAATGTGTATTATTTGTTTGTTTGTTTCTTGAATGGGTGATGTTTTGCCTGCTTTTTGGTAGGTTCCGAGCTTTGCTAGTTTTTTTTTCCGTGAAATGGGTGTTTTGTGGTGCAACCACAACAATTCCTTAGATTTCCAAATGTGCCCCTGAGAATGTTCAAGGACCTCTGCATGTTAAACTCTCTGCTTTCTCTGCAAAATAGGTTGTGGGCAGCATACCCATACTCAGTTACCCACTGAAAGCCATGGCTATTAATTTCAATGGAGGCAACCCTAAGAAAGCCATATAGACAAGAGGGCTTTGCAAGTAGGTTAGGCTTCTGGTGGAAACAGTGGCTGTCTGCTGGAATGGTTAAGCTGTGTCTCCACCTACATGCAATCTGTGTACCTGTAAATATAATGCAAACATTGCAAAGCGGTGGGGGGGGGGGGAGTCACCAGGACCAGTAGCCTCCTTCCCAAGAAAACCAAACAAAGGGAAGCACCTGTCCCTGGAAATCTTCACAGTGAGGGTAAGCACAATGATATTGCTATTTTTATTTCTCTTATCTGCTGCCTTGGACATGCTTGTCAGTTGGAAGCCAGCCTCAAAAAAAAAATTAAATACATAAACTGCCGGAGAAACCAGAGATAAGCTGGTTGGCTTTGCCCTGTGGAGCAGAACATCAGTCCTCCACACCCAAGTCTCGTAGTCTCCGCCCACAGATATACAGTAGCTGCAGCACAGAGTGACTTTCATTTAGAACTGAAAGTGAAAGTGGTTCTTGCCACTTTCTAGAGAAAAGAGGAGCCCTGTTCAATCATATCAAAGGTCAGGGTTGCCACCTTTGGTCAGGCCAAATAAGGGACTGGTCAGGGGGGGGGGAGAGAATTGGGGGGCTAAAAATTACTTTACCTGGTGCAGAAGTGACTTCAAATCAATCCATTACAATTGATTTGATATGGGCATATGGGCCTACCTCTCTCTCCTCCACTGGACTAGGCCCCTGCAAACTGCTTCTCTTGCTCTCCAACCCATCACTGCTCCCCTGCCCACACAAAACCCGAGACTGCACTGTAGCAGACCTGTGCACTGCAGACCCCCTCTCTTGCTCTCTGCAACCCACCCTCTGCCTCCTGGAAGCCCACAAGCTGACCAAAAAGGCAATCAGGGACGGACCCGTTACTATTTCTGCAGCAGGCAGGGTCTCTGTCTCCAGCATCCTATAGCTACCAAATCAGCATAAAAGGGGAGCTTTTTAGCTACTGAGAAGAAGTATTCTCATCCTTTGTGCTGATTGGTGCCACAGTGAAAGGAGGTGAGTCAGCCACTGAGGATTGCCTCCTAGGGTCACTCTGGAGATGGTGCTCAGGAAGAACAATGAGTTCTTCTGTATCTTCCAAAGCTTATGTATTTAGGAGCACAGAACCATTAGGTCCAAATCATTTGCCCACACACGTGCACAGAAAATAGTAGTTCTAGCTGAAATACAACAAGGGATCTGCACAGATTGTTTCAATGCATCCCTTATTACTATCATTGTATAATTGTAAGATTGTTCTATAAACTTAGAAGGCTGTATAATGTTTATGACTACCATGAAGGGACCCTGCACAATTTACCACTACACCCCTTGGTGTGACATGGGAATGGATATGGTCTGGGGGGAGTTCCAAGGTCCAGGCAGAGAGGCCACATTAGGCCCTCTGGCCTGAGGTTTCCCAGCCCTGCCCTTTCACATAGAACAGATCTGCATTATGCCCCAAAACAAACAGTAGTAGAGTGAAAAGGGCCACTTCATATCTTCAGCAACCAAATATCCTTCCCTGGGGAAATGTTCCGTTCTGCGAGGAGGCATGCCTGACGCCCAAGTCAGCTGAATTCATGGGGGATGCCCAAATCAGCTGAATTTGTGCCCTTTGGGGGAATGCCTGGCTCAAATAGTTTTTGCAAACTGTGGTACATTTTTCTCCGAAAGGCTTCTTGTGCAGCACCGCCTCATCTTTCCACCCTCCTTCAGCCCACTCCTTAGCATGGGATATTCTCAGAATATCCTGGAGGTTCTTTATTTTTAAAGAAAGCAACAACTTTCTGAGAAGGGAAGTTAAAGCACAGGGCACTAGACCCGTAAATGTTGGGAGTCAGGAGGAACCTGCGGACAGTCTCAGCTGTGAGACATGCTCACACTGGGTTTCCTTGGGGCACTGGGGAAAAAAACATTTGCTGCAAAGAAAAAGTACTTTCACTTGCTGTCTCACTGTTCTTCAACAATCAGCTTAGGTCCAGGACACCTTCGAAGGATGGCTGTATTTTGGTACAAGTATTGTTCAGAAAGTGTGAATTAGGGAGATTTGCCTATCAGTGCAAACTGACTCTGATTCCTCTCTCATCACTGTGTGAGAGAGGAACTAGGAAAGAGCTAACTTTCAGGTATCTCTGAAGACATGAACCTGAAAATGTTCAGAAACATGAAGCCTTACCTCCTTGAGCAGAGTGACTTCATACTCCTGAAGCTGTTCCTGGAAGCCAAAGTTGGGGCTCACATAAGAACGGACAGCTTTGGTGGCTGTCAGGCACTCTTCCCAGCCAAAGTTAGTGACCGTCATGAGGTAGGCCACCAAGATGGTGGTGCTGCGAGACACTCCAGCTAAGCTGTTGAGCGGAAATAAAGGAGCAATGTTTTCAATTTGGAACAGGGGTGAAGAAAACCCATGTTAAGATTGTGCAAGTCTTGCTCCCTCCACTATTGGACATATTCCCAAGTTTGTACATGCATTCATGCATCATAGAATTCAAGATGGACGCCCTCTTATCAAGTACCGTTTTGCATTTCGTCACCTAAATGGAGGATAAGGCTATCAACAGCTGCTAAATACCACGGCTCCATTCTACCTCCTTTTTCAGAGACAGTATGCTGCTGAATACCAGTTCCTGAGGATCACAAGTGGAGAGATTCTGCATGTATTCAGGTCCTGCATGTGGCCTTCCCATAGGCATCTGATAGACCACTATGACAACAAGATGCTGGACTCAATGGACTTCTGGCCTAATCCAGCAGGGTTTTTCATATTTTCTTGACTTTATTATTAGCTTTCAAAATCCTTGAGTCTTCATTTATTTATTTAGAGATTTCTAGCCCATCCGTCCAATGCCTGCCTGTGAAATATGCAGAGTCGCTTACAGCAGTTTAAAGTTACTGTGTTTTGTTGTTGCTGTTTATTGCATTTACCGATAACTTTATACCATTAAAAGTTTCAAAGTGACTTGACTAGCTAAAATATAACAGATAACAGCAATGTAAAACTAGGAAAAATTAAAACCACCAACAATATAAAATATATAAAATGCTCATCCAGCAACGTATTACTAAGGACAAGTCCTATCCACCCCACTAAAAGATGAGCACCCCCGTAACAGGCAAAATTAATTAATCTAAGGCCTGGGTAAACAGTTTGGGCTTAGCCTGGTGCCTAAAGACTGACAAAAATGGTGCCAGGTACATCTCCCTCAAGAGATCATTGCCCAGACAAGGGGCCACCACTTAAAAGGCCTGTTCTCACAGGGTACTTCTAATGGCAGTTTATTGTGGACTCTGTTCTACTCAGGGCTGCAAGCTTTTTACAGTGTCCATATGACATCATCCTCATCAAAATGCTACGCAATGTTATTTTTTCATTTTCATTTTCATTTTTTCTGCCGGAAATTTGGTAAGTTAGAAAATGAATGAAATGGAAGCAGATGAAATGGAAGGGGACGATATGGGATGGCCTTATGATGGGGGCGCTGTTGTGTGGATGCTGCAAAAAACGGACTCCACCGTGAACTGCCACGTGGCAGAACCCACAGCATCAACAACATAGATTTACAATGCCATAAAGGCAGAGGTCACAGATTAAACATGATTATTTTTTTATTTGATTAATTTTATGACTCACTTCCCACGGAGCATATCAAAGCAATTTCAGAATTATTAGTAGTAGTGGTATTAAATTCCCGACTCGCCCTTCACTTTCAGGTGCCAGGGCAGATTGCAACAATTTAAAAATCAGCATTAAAAACAGTTAAAACAAATGGGTGGGTCCTGAAAACACATGTCTCAGGTGTCAAAGGCCAGGGTAAAAAGATGCAATTAAAGCAGGCAGGCTACAATAAAAGCATATAAAGCAATTACGCATATTGTTAAAACAAGGGCTATATATATATATATATATATATATATATATATATATGAAAAAACCATTACATGTATAAAAACTTGACATGATCTTGGTGTGACTCTTGGCTATCAAAATGAGAGACAAGCAGGGAGAAAAGGCTTTGAAATGATGGACATGGTTGATGACAGATGCTGGGAGTGGATTTGACAGTGAGAGTGGAGTGGCTCATCGCCCTTTTGAAGCCTCTACTTGGCTAATGAAGCCATTGGCTAGGATCCAAAGAATGGGGCAAAACGAAGGAGGCAGAATAGAGGAGTGTGTCTAGTCGGCAGCGGATATTTTCATGCTCCAGCCCCACCCTCTGCAAATGGTTTCTGCACAATACACATGATACATTGACTGGTTGTAAAATCTGAATAAATTTGCTGCAGCTTGCATAAGGAATCCTTTTTTTGGGGGGGGGAGTAGCTAAAAGCTGCAACAGCATGCCAAACTAATCCTTCAGTGCTAGCTGAACGGAACAAAGCAAGACTGCTTCTTTAGCTCAGGCCATTGGTGCTTTCAGAATTCCAACGATAACATCCAGCTTTAGGGGAAAGCAAAAGGTTGTTGACAGTGCAATCCTATCCATGTCCACTTAAAGTAAAAGTATGCTCACTTTACCATCTTAGAGCTCAGCAAAGTTGTTCCCTGTCCCCCAGGCATTTCACACCTCTTCCCTCCCCCCTTACAACTGTTCACATCAGCACCAGCTTCAATTCATCTCTGTTTGTGTGCACACCAGGGAGCATTGACAGAGCAAAGATGTCTTTACCCCATGGCAAGAAATGAACTAGGAACAGCTTAAGGACTGCAGTCAGCGGGTCACTCCTTTGAGAAACGACAGTGCCAGACAGTAGTACCGTAGAACAAGAGATACATATGCATTTTGGATAATGTTGTATGAACATGGATTAAAAACCCAGCACTAGAATCACGTAAGTGCACAGCAAACAGGAGTATGAACACAGCCCAGGGATGCTTCCAGGCTATTGCTGTTTTCTGGTGGGACTGAATCACATATCAGCAAATTCAGGTTGTGCAAGGGAAGTTTATTTGGAGCTTCCGCACAACAAATCAGCCCCCCTAAAAAAAATAAGACTCTTTGCAATAAGGAATAGGAAGATGCACAGAAAAGTGTGGGATAATGTTTCCTTGATGCAACAACATCTGACCTCCCCACAAACTAATCCAAATGGACTCTCAGTGACTACCGGGTGTCGCCTAACCTCCCTGCAAACTTTGTACAAACAAATCAAGCTGAATGCTCAATAAATTTGTCACCTGGAAGTGGTTGAAGTCCCGCTACATTCAATACTGCTTCCTTCTGAGTATACATAGATAGGATTGCAGCCTTTATTTTTCTCCTATCTCAGCCTATATTAAACTCTAGCAAATTTGTGTGACCTAAATGTATGTATATCAATCTCTTTATAATGATCAATGACCAGTATTCAAAAAAGAAACTTTGTACAAATTTATAAAATAAAACAAAACCATACAAAATAGAGAACCATAACAATAAAATTACTAGTAAATGTACTGTACTGTAGAACACCAGGAACAGAATTGTGAGTTTGCTAAAATTCATCCCTGGTAGGTATTTAGCCATCCTGGAAGAGGTGAATGCCTTGTGATCTGGAAGCATAAAATGCATCCAAATGTCCTTGGAATTTCTAGTAAAAATGTTAGGTATATCATGAGGAGAAGAGCAATACATAAGAGCATGAGTTGTTGAATCTTCCTCTCCTGATTCACAGGGACATTTACGTTGACATTAGGGAATTATTTGAAACCTCCCCTCCAAAACAGCTAGTATAACAGCATTTAAATGCACCAGAGCGAAGGCTCTGTGGTGTTTTGGAACAGAGAGCAGATAAAGATGGCTGACTGTTTGTAGGATTGAAGTGCTCTGTCAATTAAAATGTTATTTGAGGTTAAACCTAGATCATTTTGGCATTCAGCATCTGCAATGTGTTGCCTGAGTATTGTTCAGGCCATTTCATTTCCCATGAAGATAAGATAACTCATGGAAAAACCCATAACGCTGCCACTTTTCAGACAACGATTGTTTCAAGCCTGAATGAAAATCATCCTGCAAGGTTAAGGGAGCCAGAGCAGTCGAGTATGTATGTATAGTTTAGGAATGACTGCCAGCAGGTTTCCAGAGATATATAAATGTCCGTATACATATATTATAGTGTGCTCCCCATCCTGAAAAGGAAAGACAAAGAAAAGCAGCTCACCAATGAATGAGACATCCTCCTCCATGTAGCCGACATTCATGAATAAACTTGATGCACTCCTTGAAGTGTTGTATCCTGAGAGCAAAGAAGAAAAATTAGGAATTGTTTGCCCTGAACTAGAGATGAAGGTGAAATTTGATTCAGCATGAGAACCAAATCACAGCTATCCTTCAAAAAGTGTTACTCATCCAAAATTTTGTGATGCAGTTCTCCAATGGAATAATGTTTACAAAAATGCATATATTAGGGGAAAGGGTGCAAATAAATGAAGGTATTAATGAAAATACCATAGAAAGATGCATTAAATTAGGGGAAATTGCTCGCAGAAATGTGGGAATGAGTAAAAACTGCATGTAAAAATGTGTTTATTAGCAGAAATTTGCTTTGACGTGCTTTATATTGTGTGTTTTATATTGTAAACTGCCCTGTGATCTTCAGATGAAGGGCAGCATAGAAATTTAATAAATAAAATATAAATAAATAAACTGTCAGCACCCTAACAAACAACAGTTCCCAGGATACTTTGGAGGTAAATGTAAGTGTTTAAATTGATATGATACTTCTTTAAATTTATGGTGTAGATTTGGTCTAGGACTCAGGGTCATCCAACTGAGTAGATCTTAAACAAACTAAATGAAGTCCTTCATCACACAATGCATTATTATTAATTCACGAACTCACTACCACTTGATGTGATGGTGGAAATTGACTTCATATTGTCAGTATGTTGCAGGACAGATTGAAAGTGACAAGGAAATGCACTGGAAAGTATGGAATGAATGAATGACTAATGGGAAGGTGTAACAACACCCCTCAAACAAATCAAGATGAACGTTCATTGCCGTATAACCGCCCTGCAAACCTATCAGAATGAATGCTCATTAAAGACCAGACCAAATCTAAACTCTGCATTAGCTTTGTGCAAGCCACTCAGGAAGAATGCTGAATAAACTGGTCATCTGGAGAACTTAGATGGCTTTCAAATGGAAATAGACAATTTCATGGAGGAGATGAGCTTATCAGTGGCTCATAGGTGTGCTGGTAGCTAAATAGAACCTAGAGAACTATACTGTCCAAGGGCAGTATAGCTGTGAATGCCAAACGCAATTGCAGGAGAGGCTTGTAGGCTTTCCAGAGGCATCTGGTTGGTGAAAAGGTGGCTGCTGGAATAGATGGATTGATGGTCGGATGAAGAAAGGAAGTGCTGTAGCTCAGTAGCAGAGCACATGAGTAGCCTGCAGAAGATCTCAGGTTTAATCCCAGCATCTCCAGGTTTTAGACCCCTGTCTGAAACCTTGGAGAGCCACCACCAGTCTGACTCAGTATAAGACAGAATGAGGCAGTATAAGACTCAGCTCCAGGCACATTGACAGACCAACTCTGTGTTACAAAGACGTCTGCAAATGTGACATGAAGGCTGGCAACATCAACCCCACCCTGTGGGAATCCCTTGCAGACAACTGCAGTGCCTGGAGGCAGACAGACAGACAGGTTGTGTATCCATAGCAGTGACCAGACTGTGAGGAGCTCAGGGAGAAGAAATGTCATGGTGCATCTGCAGCAGCACAACTAAATGCCCTCATCTGCCCCAGCTGCAACAAAACATGTCTGTCCTATGTCTCTACAGCCACAGCAGGCGGTGCACTCCTCCATTGTCTACCAAGACAACGCCAAAAAGTATAAGGCATCTGTGCAAGCCTGCACCCTCCTAAGTCTGCACACAAGGGGCACAAGATCACTGCATCACATCACTGAGAGTTATCCACACCTGCAGTCAGATCTGTGCACATTCCTGCCCCTCCCCCTTCCCTTTCACCCTTTGGTGCCACTCCTTTGATGCTGGCAAAGGAACTGACAGCACCTCCTTTGACCTTCACTTACGAAAAGGAAATGAAAGAAAAATGAAACCAAACAAAGGTGTGGGCAGCGCCAGAAGCAATGCCAGTAAAGAGGCACTTAACACTGTACGTGGCAGTCAGATTTCCTGCTTGATGATAAGCCTGGTAAACTTGAGGCATGCTGAGAAAAAGGAGACTCATCCCAGGTCCTTGACACCTCAACAAAAGGTGTTTCCATTCACAGAAATAACACTCAGGTACTGTAAAATCCCCTTCTCGATTTCTTCACTCTGGCCTGATGAGAAGTGGATGACGAGGTAATGAATCCTCTCAATTTGGTAATCTATTTTTAGATCCTGAGTGCAGAATTGTTGTTTATTTAAAAGTCAAAATGGAATTGTTGTTGCTGCTGCCAGTGGTGTAGTGTAGGGGAGCCATGGGGCAGTTGTCCTGCACACAACATTGTCAGGGGTGCAAAATTTCAATACCCATTGCTGCCTCAGTACAGCTGCCCACTTTCGTCCCTGGGCTCCATTGAAAACGGCTTCTCCATGAGAACCAGAAAGTGACCTTTCCATACAACAGAGTGACTCTTCTTTTCTTATCTCTGAGGCTGCAATATCCTGGGTGATGTTGACACCATTAGGCAGTTGAACGCACATGCGTACTCTGTCCATTTCCCTCCCTCCTACCCACCCGCTACCCACACCCTCAGGAGCTGGCTACCCACGCTACACCACTCGTTGCTGCTGTTCTTGTTGTTGTAATAATAATTAATTTTCTTCTCTGCAGGATGCACACACTTTTTATTTCAGGCATTTTAAGTGAGTTTTTCTGATGAGATGGCTAGTTTTAACTGATCTTAAGATATACTAGCAACCTCATACCCATTGTTGCTCAGGAATTCTAAAAAACCAGGGCAGTTTTGAAATCCTTGGTTAAAATATCAGTGCAGTTTTGAAATCCTTGGTTAAAATATCAGTGCAGTTTTGAAATCCTTGGTTAAAATCAGTGCAATTTTGAAATCAGTGGTTACAATCAGTGCAGTTTTGAAAGGTTCAAGCCCACCATCTTGATTCCAAATGGCACCCAATTGTATCTCAGCATAGACAAAAACCCACTCTTCGATCTCAGGAACTAGCATGTAAAATTAGGTGATGATAATTTAGGAGATGTCCAGATGCATAGCAAACAAGCAACTTTCCACAATATGCAGTTCATGCTACATTCCTATTTTACCCAAATACATATTAAGTGGTACATGCATTATTAAAATAAATAAATGACCCTACAGCAGTGTGTAGTTTTCTCTGTTTTTCTTCTTCTTACAGGAGTAGCACCTGTTGTGCCATGAATTATAAAATGTTTCATAACCCCTGGTTGGAAGTTGGCTTGTCTCAAACAAGCTATAGTTAAGATTAACCACAGTTTGGAAGACACAGCAAACATGGCAGGGGAGAAGCTTCCAGTCTCCTGGTGGTAGGGCTGAAGGAGAAGAGGAGGAAGTGTGAGAGCCAGAGGCTACTTGAGGGTCTTTTCCATCATGATCAGACATAGCACCCTTTATCTGCCCTACTCCACTCATGACCAGAATGGTTAAAGCACCTCCACATGGTTTTTCCTGCACTCTTTCACTGCAAGTTTCTGAATGTTGTGAATGTACAAAATGGTACAGTCATCATTCTGGACCAATTTGCAAGGAGGAGGAGGAGGAGGAGGAGGAGGAGTTTGGACTTGATATCTCGCTTTTCACTCCCCTTAAGGAGTCTCAAAGTGGCTAACAATCTCCTTTCCCTTCCTCCCCCACAAGAAACACTCTGTGAGGTGAGTACGGCTGAGAGACTTCAGAGAAGTGTGACTGGCCCAAGGTCACCCAGCAGCTGCATGTGGAGGAGCGGGAAAGCGAACCCAGTTCGCCACATTACGAGTCCACCGCTCTTAACCACAACACCACGCTGGCTGTGGTTAAGGCTGTGGTTAAGATCACCGAGGCTGTGATCTTGCAGGTGTGGCATTAAAACCCTCTTGGAAAGCAAGAGTGGGTGGTGATGGGTCACAACCCCCACTTTCAGCCCACTAACTATGGGTCATTCCAAGTCACCCAGTCTCATCTGGACTCTTGGGGGGGGGAACCTTTCTAAGTTCACCAGGATTGTGAAATTCAGAGTCTAATGCAATGTGCAGAAAATAACCCCTTAAGAGCAAAACTTCCTTCCTGTGGCCCATTGCTTAGAGGCATGTTATGATTGAAAGAAAAAGAAATAAGAAGGGAAGGGAATAAACAAAACACCCTCTCCTCCCCCCCCCAAAAAAAACTTGCTGGAGCAGGACTTTCTTGTCAAGCTTCTCAGTCCCCTCAGAGGGAACCTTTAGCTCAGGGAAGGGGCCCTTTCATCTGAGGGGGTAGCTTTTCAGTTGACATTGAGACACTGAATCCTGTGCCCATAAAAGAAAAGAGATCAGGTCATGCTTTGTCTTGGGGGTAAAGAACCATTTTCAGCCTGAGGGCCACATTGCCTTCTAAGCAGCCTTCTGGGGGCCACATGCCAGTGATGGGCAGGGCTGGAGGCAAAAGTGGGTGGAGCAACAAATGTGAATTTTCCTTTTTTACAGACAGCTAGTTTCTACACACTTTCACACTGTCTTCCATTCAGCGAAATGAAGGGCAGTGTCAGCGTTCAAGGACAAATTTGAGGTTAAGCACTCAAGCAGAGTCAATGAGTGAATGATGTGGTCTAAGGAAATGAGGGCATGGCCAGGGAGAGGCTTGGAGGACCACATTCAGGGCCCAGCCTGAGGTTTCCCATCTCTGCTCCATGCACTAACATAAGATGGATCAGTGTGTTGATTACAAAACCGGTTTCTCGGATGAACAACAAGTGAGGAAAACAGGATTGCTCTCCAGGAAAGCTAGCATGTTTGCATTGTATATAGGCTGAAAACCCTGAGAGAACTTACAGGTTTTGATTCGAAGAGTCTGAGGCTGATATGCAGAGGTAGGTCATGTCCTGTGAAAAAAGAGACAAACTTTACAAGGGACTTGTGCATTCCACTTCATGCAGGAGGCACAGCACAGTAAACAAATGGCGGGACATCTGCTATTGTTCTGTGATAGTCCTCAGCGTAACCTCAGATTTGTTATTTGCACTTAGCACAACCTCATCTGATTAAGAGCCAAACAACTCATTATCTTGGAGCTCCATTTTAGAAATGTGTACTGACCACGAGATTCAGTTCAGACCACAGCATTGTAAAATAAACTTGAGTTGGCTTAGACTAAATTGGAGACTACCTGGTCCAGCTCTGGGGTCAGATTCTGCTTCATTCCCTCCACCACCAGGCACGACTGGGGAATCAAAACATGGCCACAACTTTTTTTCCCCTTTTGAAAGCCACCCAGAGTGGCTGGGGTAACCCATTCAGATAAGAGGCATATTATTATTATTATTATTATTATTATTATTATTACCCACAGAAGTGGATAAAATTTGCAGACATAGTAACCCATCCAGGTTCAGGGGTACTTCTGTTGGACAACTCTAAAATGTTGTCATTTGAAAAATAATAATTGTGGCACTATGGAAAACAGCACTATTTGTAAGTCTGGATCATTGAGGTGCTCCAGGGCTCCCTGCTTCAAACTGTGCCCCTATGATGCTTTCCCTTTTCAGAGCCCCAGCATAACAAGTAATTATGCCCCAAATCTGCATTACGCCCTCTGCACCAGGTTGATGGAAGAGTTCTGATCAGATGCAGCCAGCCTGATGGAAGAGTTCTAGGAAACATAAAACCTTGCTCACTGTTTTATGATGCTTTAATAAGCCCCAATGTAGATGGTTGCTGTCAGATGACCTGTTAGTTGAGCATTGACCCTCCCTGATCTCTTTCCACTAGGTGCGCGAGGGCCCTAAGCAACATCAACGGCTTGCCGAGCATTCATTCCAATTTGTTTTCAGGGAGGTTAGAATCATAGAATTGTACATTTGGAAGGGATCCCAGGGGCCATCTAGTCAAAAGCCCCTGCAATGCAGGAATCACAGTTAAATGTTGTTGTCAAGGAAATATCCCAGGCATTCCACTGCATCTTCCCATCACTTTTCTCATCCCCATAAGCCTAATGCTATGGTGGAATAGGTTTGCTGTGCAAGAGCACCAAATCAGCTTAAATGTGAAACCTGAATACCGTCATACCTTGGATCCCGAACGTCTTGCGAGTCAAACATTTTGGCCCCCCAACCCCGCAAACCTGAAAGTGAGTGTTCCAGTATTGTGACCGTTCTTTGGAACCCGAACGTCCAATGGGGCTACCGTGGCTTCTGATTGACTGCAGGAGCTTCCTGCAGCCAATTAGAAGCCTTGCCTTGGTTTCCAAATGCTTTGGAAGTTGAACGGACTTCCGGAACGGATTCCGTTCGATTTCCAAGGTACCACTGTATCTCCAGCTGAAAGGACCTCAGGTGGCAGGTGACTGTGGAGAAAGCTCTCTCTCTTCCCAAGACCCTGGATAGTTGCCACCAGCCTAAATAGACAATACAGGGCTGGAGAAGCCCATGGTTTGAGCTGGCATATCACAGCTTCCTATGTTCAGATGCAGAAAAAGAGAGAGGGCACTGATATAGTCCAAATTAAGCATCAAGCTAAGCACACCACAGAGCAGAGGCCTCATCCAACTTGAGTCTACCTGCTGCTGCTGCACAATTTTCAGATTGTTTTCTATTGGACCAAGTCATTCCCGACTTGGTTCATCTATACGTAGGTTGTTGCTTTTTTTTTTAAGGGGGGGATGCAACACCACTAGTATCGAAAATACTTTTTGCGGAGAGTGTTGCAACACGTTTGCAACAGTAAAATCTTCCAGGCAGTTGCTAACCTCTCCCTCTCCTGTCCTCACCCCACCCCATCCTTCCCAGGCAATCACACAACAATACACATCAGGATTAATTACTATTCTCCACTGAAGCTTCCTCCCACCCCTGCTCACTACCAGAGATGGGACCCCCCCACACACCCCCATGCACACTCTCTCAGCATTTGCTGGAGGGCTAGGCATGGGAAAGGAGCTTGACTCTGCAATTCTTTTTGCCAGAGTGACAAATTGCTCAATGCACCCGTGTGTTTCCAGTTCCCCTTTTCTCCCTGGCCTCATTCACTCCATCATGTTGTAAGACCTCTGCGCCCATTTGCCATCTGTCTGGCAAGTCTGCAGAGATGCGGTCCAAGCAGCTGTGGCTTTGGTGAGCGGTTTTTGCTCCCTGCATTTGATTTCCCGCCCCCTCCCCCTTGATGACATTAGTCAGTATCTCTTACCAAGAAAATGGCTTTCATGGAGTTCATTTTCAAAATAAATACATACTGTATTTTCTTGGGAAGCAAAGCAGCATGTATTGCCTGGGCAAATTCACCCACCCAAAACAACACCATCAGTACACACACACACACACACACCTCTCTACAGCTGTATTCAGTCATGCGGTTTATTGCATTAGTTTTACTGGTTACAATGCTAGCTCCTCTATCCTGATTTCTAACATGTCTTTTAGGCTACATTCACTCTATAAATTTAAAGTGCTATCATGCCACGTTAAACAGTCATAGCTTGCCCTAAGGAATTCTGGAAGGTGTACTTAGTTCAAGTGCTGAGAGCTGTTAGGGGAACCCTGATTGCCCTCACAGAGCTACAATTCTCAGAGTTCCCTGTGAAGAGGAGTTGATAAGTAAACCACCCCAGATTTCTTTGGTGGAACTATGACTGTTAAAGTGGCATCACAGTGCTTTAAATGCAAGGTGTTAGTGTGGCCCTGGAAACAGCTAACACAGAAATGAGCATTGAACAGCTGCTAGATTTCCAGAAGTGGTTCTTTGGCTGTGTGAAGTATCACATAAAGTGTGAAAATTATCAGGTAAGGAAACATCAGGGAAGCAGAGTAAACTGCTATTAGCAGCAGCTGCATCAGAACATCAGAAGGTGCCTTGTATCAAGTCAGATAATTGGCGCATCTAGCTCAGTATTGCCTACATTTAAATTGGAGAAATGCTAGCCAGTCATAGAATCACAGGGTTGGAAGGGACCCTGAGGATCATCTAGTCCAGAGGTTCTCAACCTTTTTGAGCCCACGGCTCCCTTGACCAACTGCATTCTTTCTAAAGCACCCCAGTATGACCAGTGGTTGAGGATGATGGAAGCTGTAGTCCAGCAACATCTGGAGGGATGCAGATTCCCCATCCCTACACTAGGCAAATCTGGAATTACAAGAGAACTGAAAGCAAGATCTGTTAATGCACAGTATGTGGAGGGAGGGAGGGTTGGGAAACCTGGCATTATCATTTCTGTAATTGCACTGCCCTCTACTGGCTTGTGACATTTCATAACTTCACCACAGAAATAATTACCTTCATGCATTCACATTTTAGCTGGGGAAGCCAAAGAAATATGAATGAATGGGGTGGGAAATGGCCTGCAGCTGGGGTCCCTAAAGCATTTTACATATTTTCCAGCTGTCATGTTTTAAGTAATCGGATTCCTCCTTATTGCTATGATGCAAGATGCTCCAGATTTCCTCTCCGTACTCACTTCTAGCACAGGCTTAGCATTGTTATGCACCGACAAGATGTGTGTGATCCCATTCTTCACTAAGTTCTCTTTGTCCTCAGAATCTGGAAAGAAAGAGAGACTTCTAAGATCCAAGATGAATAAAAAGGCCTTAAACCCTTGCTTTAATCCAGCAAAGACCAAAACAAGATGTTACATAGCAAGATGTGTGTAAACTTTCTCCCATTTTTTAAAGGGAAAAGCAACCTCTGGAAGCTGCAGATTTATCACCAGAAAAGTGCTATGGAGGACTTGACCCTTTCCCTTCTAGCCAATCCAAAATCTCCCTCAAGAAAAGATATTGGTACTTATGTGTAGCATCTACTGTGGTCCTTGTGTTCTTAAGCAAGGATTTGCCCACATTTGGACATTATTTAGCTGTTCATCCACCTCTCCACCTCCTGTTGAATTAAACCACAGCAGTCCACCCACACATATATTAGGAGCAACTTCAGTCTTTCCCATTCACAACAGGAGGCTTCTGTCTTGTGATTGTGCCCACCTTCTGATCTGTTGATTCTAATATGTGGGCTGATTTTATTTTTATTTTTTCCTAGTGTGTACATGTTTGCAAGGGGACTGGTTGGCTTTTAATGCTGTTAATTTGTTGTGTGATTTTTATTTTGCATTTTCGTTCTTGTTTTCTCTCTTTTCGAATACTGTGTAAGGCCCTTTGGGAAAAGCACTTGATAAGCGGTATATAAATAATGCAAATAAACAACTACAGATTAAACTAACTATGAAGAAATTATGAACATGCACTCTTGCTTTATAACATTAAATCATGTGGATGGATCCAGCCCCAGATTAAGACCCTTAAAAGAACTGAAAATATTGTTGTGCCCTCCCCGCCCCTTATGTAACTCAAAATAAAAGCAATGCTAAACCATAAAATGAAATTTTGTTTTTCAAAATGGCACAGAACTTACCTGTATGTTAAAATGGCACATATGCCTTGTGAAACACATGGTCCCTTGCATTATATCAATCTATGTTAGTAGGACACTTCCTGGCCTTGGTGGAGATAAGTAATAATACTCCTAAATCTATAACAATACATACACCATGCAAAGGTGAAACCAACTCATCATTTCATAGTTGCACTAGATTCTAGGAGGAGGAGGAGGAAGCAGAGGCCACATACACTGCTCATAATCAACATCTGCTAGGAGACAGGCAGAGTTTGCAAAACACTTACCCCTGATGTTTCCAAGGTACAGCCCCCCCACAACCTGAAAATAAGCCAAGAAAAATAATTAGTGCTGCAAGCACTGTCCCTTGTGAACAAGATCCTCCTGGGCTTATTTTATTTATTTCATAAAATTGATTGTAAAAAACAAGCAAACCTCAAAGTGGTTTACAAAAAGATAAAACAAGAAAACAAAAGAAAATATTACAATATTTTAAAACATACAGAAAGTTAAATTACTAAAAATAATAATTAAAATTCACACTTTCTATGCATCTGGGTAGGCTTAACAGTAATGTTTTTTAGAGGAAAAGAGATGGAAGTATCTGCCTATTTTTGTACTCTTCATTTGTCATTTTTCCAATCTTAAATTCAATTCTCCACATTTCTGCAAGAATGGTCTCATTTAAAAAAAAAATCTCATGGAAATTCTTCCACATTTGGGGAAGAATTTCTCCTGGCACATTTTTGCACCCAGTTTTGAGTCATATACATGTTTTTGCATGCAAGTGCTCATAATGCATTTTGATATATGTCCATTAATGTATTCATTTTTATATTGCTCTCATATTGTTTCAGGAAGTGCAAATTTGATAAGTTCTGCTTTAAATGTCAATGGAAATAAATTCCTCCCCAGTCCCTTCTCCCAGAGCACACAGAATGAGGACCAGTATCTACTGGTAGATCACTGAATGATTTGCAGTAGACCAACATGGATTTCTCCTCCCCTCCCCAAGCAATTCTTTAACCATTGCAATAACTTCCCAATCCCCAAACTCGGCTTCTGAAATGAAGAAAGCATGAGAGGAGAGAATTCTGAACAGATTTTGGGGGCAGGGCTGTAGCTCAGAGGCATAACATCTGCTTTGCATGCAGAAGGTCCCAGATACAACCCTCAGAATCTCCAGGCATGGGCGTAGCGGATTTTTTTGGAGGGAGTGGACTTTTGTGGGAGGGCAGGACTTTCGTTAGTGGGGGCAGAACTGACGTGATTGATTGGTTGGTTGGTTGGTTAGTTAGTTAAGTATTTCTATTGTTTTACTTGATCTGGGGGGGGGCAGCTGCCCTCCCCCCGGGATACGCCCATGTCTCCAGGTAGGTCAGGGAAAAGCTCCTTGCCTGAAACCATGGGAACCTGCTGCTAGTCAGTGTAGATCAGCCAGAGCTAGATGCACACATGATCCAACTCTGCATATCTATCATCTATCATCTATCATCTATCATCTATCATCTATCATCTATCATCTATCATCTATCATTCTATCTATCTATCTATCTATCTTTCTATCTATCTATCATCTCAGCTTCCTATGAGAGGACTGTGAGCTCAGTTCTAGGACTTGGGCATAGATTTGGTGCCTTTTAAAAAGCAGCATTCTGAATCCTTCGCCCACTGCCAGCCTCACAAGGAACACACCAAGCGCCAGGCAACCTAAACATCAGGCCTTCCCGGCGTGACCTTTCAAACAGACACGGCTTGGCTTCACACCAGCAGCAAGGGTCTGCTGTGGCCCAGAGACTCCATGGCTCTGTTTTGCGTTTCTATAGCAGCCAGCGCAGATCTTCCAAACAACTCCACAACGAGAGACGGCATCCAGGGCAGGCACACACGAAGGTGCTATTTTTAAATGATTAGCTTGAGACATCTGAACAAAACAGGACCCCTCTCTCTCATTCCTTCCTCCTGCTCTGAAGAGCAAAGAACAGTTACAACGTGCTGTGTTCCCCACCTGCCTCCTAACAAAACGAACTTGGGCAGTGTGGTATAGTGGTTAGAGCGTCAGACTAGGACCTGAACGAGTCAGATTTTGTAGAAAGCATTAAGACAATGAGCTATCCTCCATGGTGGGTGGTGCCTATAGGAGCTGGTAGGGTGTAAGACAGGGAGCCCAACAGTAGGTGGAGCCAGAGCCAGTGGCAGATGCAGACAATTACTGTACTAACTGAGCCAACTCAGCCAACTAGTTTTGCCCCCATCCTCCTCCCTGCTGTGTTCTACAAGGGCAACATTGAGACTAAGGAAGATGAAGCTGACAGGCAGGACCACCCTCCTTGAACTGGTTGGAAGTAGGAATGCAGGCAAGTAGGAGCAGGCTGAGTTTGGTGGGACAGTGTCCCGTTTGCCCTAATAGACCTGCCTCTGCTGAATATCCTGCCTACCTTTGCAGGAAAGTGAGCCAGCCAGCTGAGAAAACCTCTTGTCCACAATTATTTCAATCCAGAAACAGGGAGGTCGGCAGTCTCTGATTTGAGCAGGCATTTTTATCTGGGTCAGAGGATCTAATTTTAATTCAATAAAGCTGTGACTTTCCCTGTACAGGCAGTAAACTGATCCCACTGCCAGGCACCCAGCTGCATGTTAAACAAATAGTTCTTCAGTGAGTTGTTGTTGTTGTTGTTGTTGTTGTTGTTGTTGTTGTTGTTAAAAAGAATACCAACCAATATTGCTGAATGTCTTCTGATAAAAACAGGAGGCTGCAGCAAGTGTAAGTGGGGTGGAAGGCTCACTAAGTGGGAAAAGTAAACTGGAGGGAGTTGGGAGCTCTCTGGAGACACAGACCAATAGTTTAGTAATCCTTCTAACATCCCTGCAAAGTAGGCCATTGTTGTTATCGCTCATATTGCAGACAAGGAAGGCTGAGGGAATATAGCTTGCTTGGGGCCACTGTAAATTCTTCGCAATAGGCAAGTATTCCTCTGAATTACCAGTTGCTGGGAATTTCAAACAGGGAGAGTGCTGTTGTATTCAGGTCCTGCTTGCTCACTTCCCAACTGGGGTATCTGGTTGGCCACTGTGAAGACAGAGTGTTGGACTTGGTGGGCCCTTGGCCTGATCTAACGGGGGTCTTCTTATGTCATGAAAATTTGAACTAGCAGCTTCTCAGCTCATCCTTCCATCCAGTGCTCTTCAGTGGAGCAGCTGGATAAATTTACATGATGGACTTAATGGTCTTACAGCGATGATCAGGTGTGCTGCTTCAGTCGTGGAGCTGACAATCAAGCTTCTATTCCCTCTACCCTGCTGTTCCATGGCTTACAACTACCTCTGCATCCCTGATACATTAGAGCCATGCTCACCAAGGACCGTGTCTGTTGTAGCAGTTGTGATGCACTGTGCTCGATACTGCATGGTTTTTAATTGTATTTTTATTGCTTGCTTGCTTCATTCATTTATTAATTTATTCATTTATTTATTATTGCATTTATATCCCACTTTCTTTTTCTTCAGAGAGCTCAAAGTGGCTAACATGGTCCTCCCCTCTCCATTTTTTATTCTTACAACAACCCTGTGAGGTAGGTTAGGCCCAAGGTCACCCAGTGAGCTTCAGTTCCTTGAACCCTGGTCTTTCAGGTCCTGGTCGGACATTCTGAGCACACTGGCTCAGTGTTTACTTTTTTACATTGTATACTATTGTATTACAATTTGCAATCAATCAAACTGAATTTCTAATGAAAGAAGCGATAAACATACAATTGAAAATCAATATGACTACTGAATGTAGACATGCTTTGAAAGACTACCTGAGTGAAGTTTCTGGACCACTGGTGGTCCACAGTTTGAAAACTCCTGTGTTTAAGCAAAAAGCCACCAAAAAAGTTGGTTTTGCCACCCGATTAAAAATACGAAAGTGTGCATCAGGCATAGGCAAACTTGGCTCTCCAGATGTTATGGGACTACAACTCCCATCATCCCTGACCACTGGTCCTGTTAGCTGGGGTTGTTGGGAGTTGTAGTCCCAAAACATCTGGAGGGCCAAGTTTGCCTATGCCTGGTGTGCATTCTCAGACTCACTTAAATCACAGCCACATTAATTGATAATTAGAATTTGCTGCTGATGCGTTGCTAACACATACCCGACAATAGTGAGCCAATTTTTAAGGTAAACATAATAAAAACGTTTACATGCCTACCTGGCTTTCTTTTTAAAAAGAAAGGAAGGGAGGACACTGGGATGGCCAGCATCAAGCCTGTTCAGCCCCAGCATACAGTGTCTGTTTGCTGCTGCTTCCATCCTCGTCATGGGTGGGGGAGGGCAGGAGACTGGACTTTGGCCCTGGGGTGCGGCCCTGCTGCGCCACCAGCTGCTCCACAACTGCTCAAACTGAGCCTTATTTCTTTGACACAAATTGCTTCACTGCAATCTTCGCCAACCTGGTCCCTTCTCGATTTTGGGGGACTACCAAGTCCCATCAGCCCCAGTCGTGCTAGTGCGGTCTTGTTGGCCAAGTGTCCAGCCAGGACCCGGGAGACCAGGGTTCAAATCCCACTCAGCCATGAAACTCATTGGGTGACCTTGAAGACCAGTCCCTCTCAGCCTAACCTACACCACAGGGTTGTGGTTGAGATTTAATGAACAGGGGGAGAACCATGTAAGCCAGCTTGAGCTCCTTGGAGGAAACAATGGGATATAAATGCAACAAATAAAATAATAAAATAAAATAACATACTACCTTACCACCCCCATTCCCACTTTTTGCTAAGTTACAATGAACCCCAAGGATTGTACCTTACTCATACCGGTCCCCATGCCACCTTTGAGTTCCTCAGCAGGCAGGCTCACACACAAAACCCACAGTTGCTCATTCCAGTTTCCCTGTTTGTCACCAGGGCACTGCAAAACATAAGGAGAGAAAAGGGAGGGAAACACCCTTTATAACTGAGACTAGCTTTCCTCCTCTGACTCATTCCGAAAGGTGCGTTTATCTGCTGAGGAGTGTTATAGGCCAGGAAGAGCATGCGCTGGTTATTATGGGGTGGGGACTTGCAGGAAATCTCCGTACACTTACCAGCTCTGCCGCATCTGAAGTGGGAGGACAGAGTACCAGGCAGGAACTGACACACACAGAGAGAGAAGCAGCGGCGTTAATATTAAGGGTCACAACAGGACACGGAGGAATGGGGACTCGGGATTCTCACCAAGATCTGCAGATCTTACGTCACCAGCTGTGACATGGGATCCTTGGTCAGTTGCTGACGGACTCCTGTGTGGGGCATTGATGCTTGCCACACAAACACACACACTCCCCTCCCTTCTCTGCTTCATGAGTCACTGTGCTACAGCTGTTGCTGCCAAGTGAAATGTCTAACATACTGTTGCAATGCAGAGGTTCTGCCTTACTGAAAAAGACAAAAAGAGGGGAAATCAACATCACCCTAAACAAACTTGGGGAAGGGGGGCGTTAATGGAAACAGCTGTCCCCCCAGACTTTGCTTATCACAGAAACCCTTCAAAATCTGCACTGCTCTGGATTTTGCACCGAAGCTACCCAGCCCAGTAATGTGTGCAGACATTGCATTGTGTGCAGGCTTGAGACAATGTATATATTGATATTAGGGGCTTCCCCCCCCCCCCCGCTTGCTCTGCCCGCCAACTCTGCCTACTCATTTGCCAGCCACCCTTCACCCACCCCTGACCACCCTTTACCCCTCACCCATCCCCTTGCCTCCCCCACCAGCACCGGTTTGCTCCCAGCCCCTTCTCTTTTAAAGGAGGGAAGAGGCGCTTCACAGTGTGACTTGCTAAACCACTGTGTGAAGCACCTCCCGCTTCCATTTAACCTCCCTTACATTTTTATGTATAAAGGAAGAAAAGTAATGTATAAAAAAAATGCATTGCATTGGGGTTTGGTTTTGTTTTTTGCAAAAATGTGTATACTTTGCATACAAAAATGTGTTGGGGGGAATAGGCTTGAATTTCATGTTTTTAAAAAATATATTTTTTTTTAAAATATAATTGCAAACTGATGCAGAAATGTGGAAAACTGAACTTAGGTTTGGAAAAATGAGAAAGTAAAATTGTCATTTGCCCATTCCTACCTCTTAGGTAAAGGCTCCAGTTCGGCTGCTCTGGAGTTGTGCTAGGAGCTTCCTCGGAGACGGCAGCAAAGCGTCATCCGCCAGCAGAGGCATCAGCTCCTTTCTGCTGCAGTCATGCTTTCTTTGGCCAAAATACCTTCATTCATTCCTTGCTTGCATCTTTCCAAAGCCAGCCTCCAAAGAAAGGAAGTGGGAAAGGGACCTCTGTTTTGGTACATTATCAGGATTCCCCTGAAGAGGGTGCTGTTGCAGAGGCCGGCCGGCCTCCCTCACAGGGATTTAGAAAGCAGGTCAGCGACTGTAGAGTCAGTGAAGGCAGCTAGTGCTATTTTCAGGCACAAGCCACTGGGCATGGCACTTCAGCTCAGAGGGTAACCTCCCCCACCCAAGCGATCCTTATATTGCTAGGCTGCAAGGGACACAGGACGCAGCTGGCTTATTAGCTGACTTGCAAATCCCTAGCACCAGGGAATGAACTGCAAAATGCTATTCACAACGAGAGGTGGTGTGGTGTAGTGGTTAAAAGCATCAGACTTAAGAGCTAAGTGCCTAGGGCTGAAATCCTGTCCCTTCTCAGCCATGCTCACTGGCTATCCTTGGGCCAGCCATGGTCTCTTAGCCTAACCTACCTCACAGGACTGTTGTGAAGAGAAAGTAGGAGGGGAACCCTGTACACAACCTGGAGCTCCTTGGACAAAAGGTGGGGTATAGATGTAATAAAATAGTATAAAGGGGGCTGACAAGAGCCGATAAGGCTGATTCACACATATGTCAATACATCCCCTGAATGCGACAAAATTTAAATCTTTCCCATGCAGTAATAGTGACAGGATCATTCATGGTCCCGCAGCTGTATTCTGCAGATGTGAACCTTTACAGCTATGCAAACAGCCCGTGCGATCTATAGTAGCTTATGGCTTTTGTTGCTGTGCATGAACAAGCATCAGTCGTGTTCACTTTCAGCTCAATATGCAGGTCAAGGGAAGAACAGCAGGAGTGACGCCTCCCACTCCCTCCTCTTCTCTGTGCATTGATTCTCCATGGAATTTTGGGGGGAGGGGGAGAGACTCCCAACTGACTGCATGAACTACCTCCATAGAAAAAAAGCAGGTATGAGAGTTCCATCAGCAGCACTAGAGATTATCTGTAACTAGGCCTGCTCCTATCTTGGATTGTTTCCAAGTTACACTAAAGAGCACCAAGGTATTATGAATTAGCATTCACAGATAGATTTCTCAAAGTAGTGTCATGACATCTAAAGCTGCCTGTAGAGGCAGATTGCAACATAGATCAGATCTAGTGCAATGTAGATTTCAAGTTAATGATATTCTGCAGTCATATTTGTTTTTGCCACCAATGTGACTTATCACTGCCATCAAGCAGCTCCCTTTGCCAGCTCAGCCACACACATACCCTGTGGGAAGCCAAAGGCAAGGTGGTGCCAAGCTTTGGGAAGGCTTCCAGAAGGTCAGCCCTCAGGCAACACCTTTGCTGCATTGCAGTAGCAGAAGCTGCTGAGCACTTGGTGCAGAACTTGAGCTAATTCAGGGCAGCAGCATCCGAACCTACAGGCATCGTTGAAGGCAGATTTATTGCCTACATTGTGTTCTGCACAGTCTCAAATTTTATGCAGAATGAGAGGTGTGGTTTCCCTGCTGATTACAATCTGTGGCACAGTGCATGCTGACATGTCATGCAGCGGTCCTGCCTTTCAGCATGCACTCAAAAGAACACAGAATCGGTTTTTTGCCAGGCCATTTCTGCTGCCGTGGTTTGACAACTCCAAGCACTAAGTGCTTATTAAAAATGCATCAGCACACTAGATGCTTCCAGAGTTGCTGGATCACATAAGATGCATTTGGTATTTCAGCAGCCAGAATGCCCCAGAGATATTTTTTAAAAAGATTATCTCCAAGAGATGGTCACAAAGTGTTTTTTTAAAAAAAAATTCAACTTTTAATCTTGCTGTGTAGATTTTACATCTAAAAATATAGCAAGAGGGACAATTTATATTTCCTTGGACCCTAGAACAAAGGAGAATAAACTTGTCAAGCAAACCAAACATTTATTAAAGGTTTCTCTTTCAATAGAGGGGTATTTTCTTCCCCATACACAGAAGCAGCGAGGTCACATGGAGATGAAGGAATGGTTTCAACATTTCAAGCCAGAACAGGAGTGGCGATCCCTGGAGTGCATTTATTTTTTCCATTCATTCTTTTCGTAGTCCCACTTGTTCGAGAAGCCGTCAATTGGGTTCACTCTCATATCTAACATTCTTTTGGTCTGCATGGCCTTCCACTCATCTGTGAAAGTGCGAGGGATTGGCCCAAAAACTGTAAATTGAAAAGCAAATTACAATAAGCTCATGACATCTTCAATTTGTCAACAGTAAGAAGTACATTCCATCCAAGCTTTCCCCAAGCCTAGAAACAATAGAACTTATTTGCTTCCCAAAAGGATGCAGAGATGAAAGCCCACTACACAGTTAACTCAGAGCAGGGGTTTCAAGTGCATCTGTCACTGTTTTGTGGAACAGCATCCTAGTAGAGATACGACAGGCACCCTCCATTTGTATTTTCTGCAAACAACTGAATAATTTTTTGTTTCAACAAGCTTTTTCTGGCAGGATGTTTTTAAGTCTCTCTTCGGCTTTTTTTTTGGTACTGTTTTGAAAACTACTTTAGTTGTTTTTATTGTATGTTTGTAAATTGTTTTGTGGCTTATGTGAAAGGAGATTCATAATCATAAATAAAAAGTATCTGCACATCTGATGACTGCAAGTCATTTAGAGACTTTATCTTTTAGCATACAACTACCGCTATCTGGCTTAAGACCTCTGAACAGAGACACAACACTCTGTGTGAGTCAAAAGCTCAACGCTCTCTCAGCATTATCTGGCCCAGGTACATTTGAAAGCCACCTCTGCTCTGCCTTCAGAACTAAAACATGAAAACATCTCACAAACATCGTTCGGCCAGATAATAAATAATAATAATTTTTTATTTATACCCCACCCTTCCTGGCTTAAAAACCGGGCTCAGGGTGGATAACAGCAAATATAAAACAATGATTAAAATGTATTAAAACAGCATAAAATACAACATAAATGCAGCATCAATGTCAATAAAATTCTAAAATTCAGGGGTCATGGGGGGGTGGAAACCCCAGTCAGTAGACATCAAATGATCACCAGGGCTAACTGACTAAGTTGGTCCTACTAGGGCCAGCAAGGAGACCAAGGAAGAGCTTAAATGTGGGGTCCCAGAAGGGTTTCTTCATAGAAAAGGAAAGGGAAAAGGGAATAAGGGATCAGGCTAATTCAAATTGAAGGCCAGGTGGAATAGCTCTGTCTTACAGGCCCTGCGGAAGGAGATCAAGTCCTGCAGGGCCCTAGTCTCATGGGACAGAGCATTCCACCAGGTCGGAGTCGTCACTGAAAAAGCCCTGGCCCTGGTGAAGGACAGTCAAATCTAGTCTTATGTTAACAGATATTTGTTCCCAGTTCACACTGAATTTACTGCATGGCAGCTGAGGTCCACCCAAGGCCTTTTGCTGCCCAAAGCAAAGGGCAAGATGTAGTGGAGGCTGCTGCCTATTGGAACCAACACTAGGTGGAGCCAGAGCTAATGACAGGTAGGCCACCCCTCGACTGGTTCTAAGAAAGCAGGCAAACTAAGGTTGGTTGGGCTGTGCCCCATTCTCCCTAAGGGTCCTGCTTCCACTGACCATATGGCGCTCGCTCACTCACCCCCATTCCAAGTACCAAAGCTAACTAGACTAGCCACTGAATCTTACTTCCAACACTGGCAATGGAGCAGTGTCTGCCACACCTCAGGGAAGCAGGCTAGCTTAAAAGGCACAGGACAGGTTGTGTGGCACTCATGGCTCTCTCCTCCAACAGAGGCAGTGGCTGGTGGATCCAGAAGCAACAGGCAGAGAGATACCATTACTGCCCCCCTCAGTATCTGCTGCCTGAAGAAGTTACCTCTTTGGCCATTGATAGGGCTGGAACCAGTAGCAGCTAGTGAAGACTGCACACAACAAACAGAAGGGAATTACTTTCTGTAAATTCAATCACTGACACACCTGTCAGAATGGCAGGAGCAAATGCTGCTTGCACCTTTGCCCTGCCTTAGCCAGGAGCGTACTGATTATTTTGACAACACAGATTGAGGCAAAAAACAGTTGAAGGTAATCCTACTTGGAGAATTAGTCTGATGCAGTACCATGCTTGCCTTCTAAAAACCGACTTTTACTTAATCACTAACTTAATGTTATTTTATTTACTGAACTTATAATCTATCCTTCCTCCCAAAGGAAGGAAACTGTAGGCTAGCCCTGGATGTAAAAAGGATGAAAACCTACAGAAATGTTAATGAATTGTGCACAGTACCAAGTAGTTACTCTAATTCATTTACAGTGGTACCTTGATTTATGAACTTAATCCATTCCAGAAGTCCGTTCTCAAGCCAAAGTGTTCTTAAACCAAGGCGTGCTTTCCCATAGCAGCACGGGACTCAATTTACAAATGGAACACACTCAACAGGAAGCAGAACATGTTCTGCTTCCAAGGCAAAGTTCACAAACCAAAACACCTACTTCCGGGTTTGTAGCATTCTTAATCCAAGTTGTTCATAAACTAAGCTGTTCTTAAACCAAGATACCACTGTATTTGTTTTAGAGTCAATTTCACTGTTTAAGATAATACCAAAAATATACCTTGCAATTATATCACGATTAGGCTTGATGTTTAAATGTTTTGCTGTTCTAAAAAATTGTGCTATGTAATACCTGACTATTATTTGATCAGATCTTTTTTTCTGAGCAGTCAGGTGCCCAACTCTTAATGGCAAATCAGATAGTCTTCAAGTAATTAAGGCAAGAAAGCTTAACAAAATGTTTGGATCTATTGTTGCTTGAGATGGCAATAATTTATGTAGCTGAAATGCGACCAGCTAAGCTAACGACTTTTGTGAAGTTATACACAACCCATCTTTTAAAAGGAAGTCTGGAAAATAAGCCATCTGAGGCACTCTTGCCCCTATAAGCTTATGGGAGATGGGGATCAGCTACAGATCTACCTGAAGATAGACAGACACCTGAGATTTGCCTGTCCCTATTATGACAAAGATGAACACAATGTGTTTTTCTGTCCAGAGCCTCCCATAGATCCAAAGCCAAGAACCTGTGGCATGAAAAAGAGTGAATAGCCCCATACGCTGTTGTGTTGACCATTAAGCTGCCTCAAGTACAGCCATCATATTATTAAAAAAAGACAACTCTGAATTGCCAAAGCAGCTTCCCAAGAGAAAACCTGGATTTAGTTACTTTAAATTGCCAGAGCATAGCAATGATGCAAAGAGCCATATGTTGGCGCAAATACACCTGCAAGTGTAACTGCTTAGTTCTTCTATATTACTCAGTGCACATGCACACACACCTCTCTCCTTACTCTTGGGATCATAAGACATGCACTTCTCACTTGAGACACCTTGCTACCTTAATAGTTAAGATGCTCCTTAAATGCCAACTACTTACCATACATCCTTTGCCAAATGACAACAAAAGCAGTGAGGCCTATAAAGAAGAGTGTCCCACCGAGAATAGTCTTCCATTCAGATGACCCCTTGTTCATTTCAGCAAAGGTCTCATTGAACTTGATGCGGTACACTGAAGGTGGGGAGAAGAGAGGGTGCAATTGAGATGCTGAAGCTTAAAGTTAGCCAAGCCACCTTTGCCTGCCACCCTGCTTTCCCCTGTTCCAACACAGCCCACCATAACCATAAATACTTACATGCAACCTTCTCAGCAGAAGAAAGGGCAGTCCATGATGCCTTCTCTTTCTCCTTCAGGGCCTTCTGCTCCGAAGAGAGACTTTTTGTAAACTGAACTTCAGGCAATGGAACATCCCGACGATCGATGTAAGCTGGCAGGCTGAAATCTTCCGTTTTTGCAATACCTGTTTGGCAGGGAAAATAAGAGAAATCTCACAAAGATACAATCCCAGGAAGCTTGGAATGGCATAAACCAAACAAAGGTATCAGAGCAGAAGGGCACACACTAAAATTTGCACTGGGCAGTTTCATCTTTTAATTTCTCTTAAGAAAGGCAGACTTTAAAGACCTGCTGGTCCTTCACACAAGAGGACCCACAAGAAAAATAAGTTAGTTCTGGAAGCATTATGTCATTATGATGGAATTGATGGGGGGCAGGGAACCTGTGGCCCTCCAGGTGTTACTGGACTACAACTCTCATAATCCCTGACCATTGGCCATGCTGGGGTTGTTGGGTTCTATCTCATATCAAGGTCACAGGTTCCTCATTCATGGAACAGACGATAGGCTGTAATAGGGCATGTGGCAGATTTAAAGCCATTCAGCTTTTCTCACTTGTATGGGAAAGTCACTATTTGTCACTCTAATCTATTTTAAAGGAGCTGTTGTGATGAAATATCACCGTATATGCTGAAATGTACTACACCTATGTGAACAGTTTTAGAATAATTAAGCTAAGATGAGAGCCAGGGGGAGGTAGTGGTTAAGAGTGTTGGATTAGGATCAGGGAGACCCAGGCTTACATGCCCACTGTATAGTCTTGGGCCAGTTATGCTCTCTCAGCCTATGTCACAGGATTCTTGTAAAGATAAAACAGGGAGGGGGAAGACCGCTGTATGCCACCTTAAGCTCTTTCTAAGAGAGGTAGGGTAAAAATGTAATAATAATAAGCCATCATTTTACCATGCCCATGGGCTCTCACACAGACTGAAGTGGAAATGGCCCGCTTGCCAAGAAGACTAAATGCCCGAGAAGCCAACATCCTGAAAGAGAAAAAGGTACAATGTTATATATCAGACTGAATCCAGAAAATGCAATTTTCCTTCTGTGTTACAAGTACCATTGGCAGCTTCTTGCAAAACACTGTCCACATGTCATTTCTTGCAGCATTGTCTTTCTTGCAAAATACAGTGCTGGAATCTCACAACTCTAATGACCATCCAGCAAACCAAAATGTAGCCTACTGAGTAACATTTGGAGAAGATGCAGACTTAGGTTTTAAGGGCATAAGAATAGAAGGCATCAACAAGCAACAGACTCCCAACTCCTCTCACAAGAAAGGACTATCAACAGTTTCTGCATTCAACTAATCAACCTCTCACAAAGAAAGAGCTGGAAGGGAAAATCTTCCACCCACAGGTGACAACAAAAAAATCAGGGGAAGGGTGGTTACAGCTACAGAGTTAAAACTGAATGTAAGCTTCCGCACCGCATCCTCCTTTTTAAAACAATCTGGGACAACAGATACCTGGGATTTTCTATGCTCTGCTTTCAATATATTTGCAGCAACTGCATATACGCATTGCAAGAAGGGCAATAAACATCCCATACATTTAATGGATAAACAAGCATAGGACTGCAGCCCAGTGTGTCTTCCCAGCAGGTTGTCAAGTAGCCTGGAGGGGGAATGCAACTCTGTTCCAATTCATCTAACAAATAAATCATAATGATCTTGGTATCATCAGTATCAGAAGCATGGAGGTGATGATACAAGAGAGAGCATTTTCTGTGGTTGCTCCCATATTGTGGAATTCTCCCCCAACAGAAGATAGATTGGCTCCTTCCTTGGTATCATTCTTCCAGCAGCCTAGACCTTCCTATTCAGACAGGTCATTGAAAACTAGGTGCAGACAATGTTGACCACTTGGTTGCTGTAAGGGCAATTATTATTTCAATGCTATTTTAAATTTGTTGTATTTAAGTTTGTTAACTATTGTTTTTAACTAGTTTTTGTTCCTTTGTATTTTATAAGGATGTTTTCAATATGTTGTGAGCCACCTTGAGTCCCAATTTGGGAGAAAGGCAGGATATAAATACATTAAATAATAGTAATAAAACTTTTCATGCCATAGGGAAGCATTACCACTTGTTAATTGCTGTTATTAACAGCTTATGGGATATCTCCAAAGTTGACAGCCCAACTTCCCAAAAGAAAGGAACCCAAAATATTTGTAACAACTTTGTTACTTTCCAGAGTAGGGGTGAGGAACACGCAGCCCTCCAGTTGTTATGGGAGGACAACACCATCTGCTCTAGCCTGCATGGCCAGTAGTCAGGGATAACAGGAGTTGCAGTTTAGCAGCATCTACCTGGCCACAAGCTCCCCACTCCTGTTCAACTCTGAACATATATACTCAGATGTAAGCCCCACTGTACTCAACAGGCTAGTGGACAGAGCAGCTTTCAGCATTGTTTAAATCCTGCATTGTTGAGCCTTATTTGTGGAAGTAGACAAATAAGTAGACACATGCATAAGGCTGGGCTATTAAGCCTTACTAAGTTCAGCAGGGCTTACATTCAGGGTACAGGTGTAAAGAGCTGCACTTTTACTTTCCTGCATCCTGTGCATGAGGCGGGGCTAAAATGCTTCTGAATGTTTAACCTGGGAGCAAGCCCCATTCAGATCGGCGGGGCTTATCTCTGAATAAGGGTTGGTCCATTAAACCCCAATGAGTGAAATGGGGCTTACTGCCAGGTAAGCGTGCAAAGGGAGACATGTACCTGTCTGCCTACCCCTTCATCTCCCCCAGGGCAACTACCAGCATCTTTTCCATTCTCCATCACCAACCCCAATCAGGATACCCCAATCAATAAGGAAACCCCAATTAAGCAGGATGCCTTCCTTCTCCCCTCCTCCCCGCAACTCCCCACTCCCGCCACAAGCCCTCCCCCTCACTCTTCTCCGGTGAAGCGGAGCCCCTCCCTCACCTGCCACCACAAACCCGAGGCAGCTCGTGTCCTCTAAACCCCGCAGAATGAGGACGGAAAGAGGGAAGGAGAGGGAAGCGGAAACGCAAGGCAGCATGGGATAGCGACGGACCAAGCATGCCGCGAAGCATGACGGGATACGTCGAAAGACATAGATAGATATAGGAAAATGTAAAGTAACCAGGTATCGTTTACCCCATGGGGTGATTTCCGCGTTAACATCAAGAACATCCAGCTTCACTGAATTGACCTTCCAGAATGAAAAGAGAGAATCTTCTCTCTATCCACTTACTTCGCACCGTGAATAACCTTAGACACCTCTAAAAGTCGCTCCTTGTCTTTTCTACCCTAAACTACTAGTATCCAAAACGTGTAGGGCAGAGGGCTAGTGAAGTCTGCTATAGAAAAAGTACAGAACTGTATATAGAACTGTTGTTTACCTGTGATTGGGTAGCAATGCTCTCTACCAAAAACTCCAAAAGTTTTTTTATTGGAAGAAGGAAAGGCAAAACAGGGATTCAAAAGCAACTTAGAAGGTGGTTTTTCAGACAATTGTGTGTGTCACTCTTCCTTTTTTCTATTTAGGAGGGCCAGGGAGAGTAAGTTTCCAAAGTGCAGTTCACAATAAATAAGACCTCAATTAGATGCAATGTTAACTGCTCTCTTTGCTTCTACGGGGAGGGAGAGATATCCCGCCTAATAGTAATGTAGCTACGCTAAAGTACCTTATTTTCTCCACTTTCCAGAGGAGTAACAGAGCAATCCTTAACAATGTCTACTCAGAAGCAAGTCTCCTTGAATTCTGTGGTTCTTACTCCCAGGTAAGTGGCGTTAGGATTGCAACTCAAGTCTATTGCAGCAAAAGAAGAGAGAGAGTGCAAAAAGTGTTGTAGCATCTTAAGATTAGTAGAAATTGTGCCATAAACTTTCGTGGACTAGAGCCCACCGTATCAGATGCACGCTTATGCCATAATAAAATTTGTTAGCTTTTTAGATGCCACCCAAAAAAAGACAAAGAGTTTTCCTCCTCGGAATCTCTTGCCTCTTTTATCCCCCATAAGACAGGAGGGGAAACGGGAGAGGGCCGTCAAAAATAACTGAGCAACCTTGTTTGTAGACAATGGAGCCGTAACTCTATGCGTTCCAAAAAAAAGGAACAACTTTAGGTTGGCTTTTTTCGCCGCGAGGTATGACGGGAGATATAAGGCGGAACTAGAGAAGACCATAGATATAAGTCTAGAAGGGCCTTCGCACCCTTCCTCTGTACTTCAGCTATGGGACTTGGAGAGGCTCTTTTCGCGACACTTTTGCGCCGCTCCGCCTCCTCCCCGTTCACCGCTTTACGGCCAGTGCTTGGCGGCGGGCCCGTGGAGCCGGAAGCGGGCAGCGGCGGTGGTCGTGAAGGAGGCCGGAGCTGCCCCTGCCGAGCGGGGCCCCATGAGGAGGAGGAAACAGCAGCGGCGACGGCTGTGCTGACTGAGGCGGGGCCCCGGCCAAGATGAAGCTGAGCACGCAGGCCTACTGCAAGATGGTGCTCCACGGCGCCAAGTACCCGCACTGCGCCGTCAACGGGCTCTTGGTGGCCGAGAAGCAGCCGCAGCACCACCAGCAGCAGCGAGGCCGGGAGAGGGAGCCGACGGGGCCTCACCTGCCGGCGCACGCGCTCTTCGTGGACTGCATCCCGCTTTTCCATGGCAGCCTCGCCCTGGCGCCCATGCTGGAGGTGGCGCTCACGCTGGTGGGTGGGCCGGGGGGGCTGCCAAGCGGGTGGGGTCGGGGGCAGAAAGCCGGCGTCGACAGTAAATTGAGCTAGACAGATGAACCAATGGGTCTAACGCGGTATAAAGGCCTCATATTGTCATCATTCAGAACCACGAGGACTAGTATCTTGCTTTGATTTTAGGGAAGGACCCTAACCCCGTGGTCGAGCACCTGCTCTCCATGGAGAAAGTTCTTGGTTCAGTTTCTCAGGGGCTGGGAAAGACTCCTTCCCGTCTAAAACCTTAGAGAGCCACTGCCAGTCAGTAAGCGCTGAGCTAAATGTGGCAGTGGCCTGACTCAATGTAAGGCCGCTTCCCATATTCTCATTTAAACCTTTTATTCACAACCATGAGGATTAGTGTCTTATATTACTTTTAGGGGAAGCGTCTTAACTCCATGGTAGCGCATCTGCTTTACATGCAGGAAGTTTCTGGTCCAGTCCCCAGCAGCATTTCCAGGTAGGGGCTGGGAAAGCATACACTCCTGCCAGTCTGAAACCCTGGGGAGCCTGCTGGCAATCAGTGTAGACAGTACTAAGACTCAATATAAAGCAGCTTCTTGTGTTTCTTTCCTCCTCAATAGGAAACTGGTCCTTAACTTGTTTGCTGCTTTTGGGGAAGGCTTCCCTGTGAATAGAGCTTCTATGCCTTATAGTGAACATCAAATCCTCACTTCATCTAGCTCAGTATTATCTGTCTGGCAGGATTTCAGGCAGGGGTCATTCCTAGCCTTACCTGGAGACTCCAGGGATTCAGCCTGGGTTTTTCTGTATGTAAATCATGGGGTCTTCCACAGCCCTTCCCCTAAAAGTAAGGTTCCAGTTCTCATGGGTCTGAATGAAGGGTTAACATAGGAAGTTGTCAGTTGGTTTCTCTACCTCAGTTGGTTTCTCTACCTCAGTACTGTTGACATTGTCTGGCTGGGAACACCAGGAATTAAGCCTGGGGCCTTGCTTCTACATGTGATGCAGTTGATTTACGGCCTTTATTAACTGCTGAGGTAATATACTTCTAAATATAAGATTGGGGGGAGGGAGCAAACAGCAAAGCAGGGGGTCTGTTGCCTTAATTCATGGCAGATATGTCCATTGAATGCTGTTGACTATAAGAACTAAATGGGGCCTCCCTGTCTGTTGGCAATATAGTTCAATATGCCACATAACGGGACAGATGAGGAAGGCAACTGCTACCTCTGTGCTTCTCAAAAAACTTATGGCTGGCCAATGTTGGAAACAGGATGCTGGCCTATATATAACCTCCCTGTGAAGAGGCAGGATGCCTTAGAAAGACAGCTGCTGGGGGGCTTCTTTTGGGCTTTCCTTAAACATCCACCCACTATGAGAAATTAAGGGTGCGGTACTAGATGAACCATTATAATAACTTCCCCTAACTGTCCTCCAGATTTTTGTATAACTCCCTCGAACTCTAGTTGGTCAGAATTTGGGGGTTGTGGGAGCTGTATTTCTAAACATCTGGAGGACACCAGGCTGGGGAAGGCTGCCTTCTACACAAATTCACAGATGATCAGGCAGCATACCTTTGGATATCACATGCATGCAGAGGACAAACAACAGAGGGGGGCTGATATGTGGCCTTCCCAGGGGCATCTGGCCACATCCCTTCAGCATGTTACCTGTTAATAACCCTTCCCATTATCTAGCACAGAGGAGATTATGCTTCCAAAGTTAGCACCTCTATACTTTTTTCATTGGTTTGTAGAAGTTGAACTTTCAGCAGTTACAGGACAGCAGGGGGGTTGAAAAGCTGCACCTGCCCAACGGTCCTTGGCAACACAACTGCTAAATGTACAAAGGTCCTTGTGTTAAATATTTCACAGCATCACACCACAATACCTTGAAAGACTTATTGTCTCAACATGTGTCTGCCTATACAGTATACCAAGATCTTCAAAGAAGGCTTTTCTTTTTGAGCTCCCACCATCTAAGGGCAGTGGGTGGCTATAGGAGAAAGGACCTACACAGTGATGGGAACCCAACTTTGGAATGCTAACATATCATCCACCTTGATGACATTTTGGCACCAAATATCTTTTCATTTCTCCCAGCTTTTTCATCTTTAGTCTTTATCAACTTGGTGGCCTCCAGATATTTTTTACTGTAGCTTACATCAACCCCTGGCAGCATGGCTGTGCTGACTGTGGCTCATGAAAATTGTAGTCAAAACATCTGAAGGGTGCTATGTCCGGGAAGGGCACTCTTCATATTGTTTTTGCAGTGCTTGCTGTTCATTTTAGTTTTGCTGGCTGATTATTATTTTTTTACTGCTTTTTAACATGATGTTTTAATGTTCCTGCTCTAATTTTTTGTTGTGGTTTAAAAAAACTTTTTTGTAATTCACCCTGGGAATCTGTTGATGGGTGCACTATAAATCAAGCATTGAAAATAATAAACATTTTGGCCGCCTGGACAGTGCATAGCCTGTGATATCTCTTCAGATAATAACCAGCGTGTTCACAGCCCCTCTGATATCAGAGTACTTAAACCGAAAGCATCTAGAGGAGGCTGGGCAGCAATGGAATAAGTTGTGTTGCTGAGTACAAAGGTAAATGAAGAGCACCATGGACATTGAATTTTAAGGGCAGTGAGTCACTTTGGTATACAGAGCATTGTGGCAGCTCTGACTTTTGCCAAATGGAAATCTTTGCAAAATCAGCTTGTAGCTTTAATGGGAAATTGAAATAATTGCAGAATTCATGAAATGCCGCAAGTCCTCAAACAATCTAATTATGAAGAAATTGTATTTCTGCATTTTAAGCTGAGTTGGGATTTGTCAAACTTTAATCAATTAGCAAAAAATATGGCATGCAAATATTGTTTGTGGCAGCTTTGACAAACGTAATCAAGGATAGTGTGAGATGTCTTAGAAAGCCAAGGTGCTTATCCATATTTGCGCAACTTTTTATTGTGCTGCCTTGTGGTTTTGTAAGTGGCATTCAGATTTAACAGCCTATTTGCTGATTGATAGTAGAAACGCCAGAAGATGAAATGTGTATATCAACTTAGGTCCAGCAGTCCTGGTTATATGTCCAGCCAAAAGCCACAAAGTGCAGTGCTGAGACCATCATTAGAAAGATTGAAGTCTAAAGGATAAGAGCAACCAAGCAGGTGCATGAAGGAGATGCAGTATTGAGAGAAAGTGTAGAAAGCAGAAGTTCCCAGTGAAATATTTATTTTGTCCAAGGAAGAGTCTTTGCTCACATCCTGTCCTTTTAAGGTTATTGTCAAAGTACAAGAATACTTAAGGAGTTGCAGAGTAGTAATAGAGAACTGAAAAAACCACACAAGGCCTTATTTTAAGGGAAGGTGATCCACATACCAGTCTTCCCACCACCCCATGCATAATGATAGGCTTACACAGTTAAAGCCACAATGAACCAATCAACAAAGGATGAATTAACCACATGAGCCAAGCAGATATGCCACCGGAATAGGCTAAAATGGATTCCTCTGCCCAACCAAGGGTCACTAGGCCAAGCTTGTTGATAGTTGTCCATTTGTTGGGAGTAAAAATTGCCTCTAGCTGCCATGCACAGAACCCAGCGAAAGCTGTCTGTGCATTTGTGTTAAGGCCACAAATGACTAAATGCACTTGTGGCAAATGAGACAGTTAACTCTTGGGAATTGCAAGGAGCAATTTGAGAACTACTTCCCAACCGTGCCTGGCCATCTGCAAAGCACATCTACTGAGCTGTCATGAGGAAACTTTATTGCCTGTTAGGGCAATGCTTGTTTTAAGGCAGGTACACGTGCTTGGTGATGTGTATACATTGCCAATATAAAATGGCTTTCCTTACACTTAAGAAAATGTCATTACATTCAAATATGGAAAAATAGCTGTAGGACAAAGAACTGAACTTTGAGGTTCAGTTTGGGAAACAGCCGTCCTTGCAAGATTATGAAATAAATTACAGCTGGCACATGGACAGATCAAGAAAGATGACTTTACCCTGGTATGGTCTAATTTATGCCAGTATTCCTGAAAATGACCCCACCTCCCATCAGCATTTGGCTCAATCTGGTTGACTGAAATTAAAATGTAAACATAAATTTTTATTTTCACTTTGAACTGTGCTCCCACACTCATTAATATACAACACTTTATATTGTTTCATTGGAAACATAAGAGGAAAAATGACTATTACTCATACTTAATCTAAGCACAACCAAAAGGGCTCCTGATTAGGCGTTTAGCCTGTTAAGTCTGTTCTATCCTATTTCCCCTTTGTTTTTGTTTAAATCAATTCACAAACCCAGGAACTTGAAAAATTGACCACTAATAATGAAGCATATGTTGTAGATATTCCTGCAAATTTATTATGCTATTTTTGTGATGTACAAATGACATGAGAAGACTTGGTCCATTTATTTGTATAATTTGTTATTCATATGATCCTTGTTTATAAAACCCAATAAAGTGTTACTTTAAAAAACAACCTGTTGCTAACAAGCCAGAGCAGAGCTGTCTCTCTCTGTTGCTCCCCTAAAATTGAATAGAAACTGAGCTTCCTATAGAATAACAAAAGGAACATTTCAGATCAGCTTCTTAATGTTTGCTGTGAGCAAGAATGTTTTATCTGGGTGTTTAGTTTTTAGTTAAAAGATCTCAACTTGCTGGCAATTAAAATGGCATCTAAAAACCCTTGAAATGGGGGTTATGATTACTTCAGCAGTTGGCTCTTTAAGTATAACAATGCCAGCAAATGACAATTTAATGAAACACATAAATCCATGTCATTCTTTTAGAAGAGATTATTTGTGTAGCTTCGTTCTGCTTTTAGACAGTTTAATTCAGGGCTGTAATTATTCTGCTAACCGTGAGATTGATGTGTTTTGCACGAAGCTGGAATTCAGCATCCAAAACGTTCTGCAATCCACTTAATTCCCCCTCCCCCCATTTTTTTAAGATAGTAGTTGACAGCAAAAAGCACAATTGCTAGCTCGTTTTTCCACCTCCCAAAATCACTGGATTATCTTAATCAGTTACATTTACTGTGAGTAGCAAATATGGGGATATATTCAAAAGCCACTGAAACTGGGCCAAAATCTGATATGGATACATGCAGCACTTTAAATCCTGCCTCATAACACCCAAGATGAATTTGCCCCTTTAATTCTCACTGGGTATTTTAACAAAGCTTTGTAGCAGATCAGATGATACATTAGGATAAAATGATAAGAGTTTTATGCAAATATCTTCACTAATTAAAGTGACTGTTGCAGCAGGGGTGGAGGTGCAGAGTAGACACAATAGAATCTGCACCTTATCACCAATTGAGGATCATGTTGCTCTTTCTGCTAAAGCCCACAGCCCTGGTTGCTGGGCAGTTTAAATGTGGGTCTTTTAGAGTGGGGCTGGTGACCAGTTTTCTTGCCCCTTCTCCTCCCATGAGAGTACTAGCAAGCCCAGAGTCCACCAGCCCTTCATTCTGCACAGCGGGTAGGGGACAAAAGAACAAGGAGTTCCCTCCACTCTGACTTGTGCCGTCTGTCCTCTTCCCACCCCCCCATGAAGTTTCTACACACATCCTAAGATCCCTCTCCACTCATTCTGCCCCTTCACTTCAGTGCTTAATGATGTGACCAGAGGAAGGGCAAGATGGTCTCTCCCCTTCCTTATGCATACCTCTGCTGTCATATTTTACTTCTCTATAAAAACCCTTCTCTTGCTTGTCTTTTCCATGTGTCTGTCAACCAGGTTGGGCTTCAGGAATCCCAACTTATCTGTAAAGGAAAGGAATTGCTATGGCAGGCATATAGCACTTCTTGTTGTTGTTTAGTCGTGTCCGACTCTTCGTGACCCCATGGACCAGAGCACGCCAGGCACTCCTGTCTTCCACTGCCTCCCGCAGTTTGGTCAGACTCATGTATGTAGCTTCAAGAACACTGTCCAACCATCTCGTCCTCTTTTCCTTGTGCCCTCAATCTTTCCCAACAGGGTCTTTTCCAGGGAGTCTTCTCTTTTCATGAGGTGGCCAAAGTACAGGAGCCTCAGCTTCACGATCTGTCCTTCCAGTTAGCACTCAGGGCTAATTTCCTTAAGAATGGATGCGTTTGATCTTCTTGCAGTCCATGGGACTCTCAAGAGTCTCCTCCAGCACCATAATTCAAAAGCATCCATTCTTTGGCGATCAGCCTTCTTTATGGTCCAGCTCTCACTTCCGTACATCACTACTGGGAAAACCATGGCTTTAACTATACGGACCTTTGTTGGCAAAGTGATGTCTCTGCTTTTTAAGATGCTGTCTAGGTTTGCCATCGCCTTTCTCCCAAGGAGCAGGCTTCTTTTAATTTCGTAACTGCTGTCACCATCTGCAGTGATCATGGAGCCCAAGAAAGTAAAATCTCTCACTGCCTCCATTTCTTCCCCTTCTATTTGCCAGGAGGTGATGGGCCCAGTGGCCATGATCTTCGTTTTTTTGATGCTGAGCTTCAGACCATATTTTGCGCTCTCCTCTTTCACCCTCATTAAAAGGTTCTTTAATTCATCCTCACTTTCTGCCATGAAGGTTGTGTCATCTGCATATCTGAGGTTGTTGATTTTTCTTCCGGCGATCTTAATTCCGGCTTGGGATTCATCCAGCCCAGCCTTTCGCATGATGAATTCTGCATATAAGTTAAATAAGCAGGGAGACAATATACAGCCTTGCCGTACTCCTTTCCCAATTTTGAATATAGCACTTACAAATTTGAATATAGCACTTACAGTTAGTAAAAGCATTTCATGGTGTTTGCTTTGACCACTTTCAGCAGCCCCTAGTAGATCACTGTCTGCATGGCAGGCTGAGACTGTGCGAATGTCTTAAGAAAAACACACAATTAAATCCAGGACCGAAGTGATAACTTTGAACGCAGATCTCCTGCATCCACTGCACTGATAGTTTGATAAAACCTTTTATATCTTTCTAAGTTCTACTCAATAGATCCTTTGAAATTAGTGGGCATGACTAAATTCGGATATTTAATTTCAGTGTTTCTCCTCTGAGTAGGACTTGGAGGCAGCTCATCGAGGTGGCTTTCCACAGCTTTATGAGGGGGTTGGGCTGATATCCAGGAGTCCCGAATTTGTCCCACCTCCTCTGCAGATTGTCCGTGGCCACCCAGTTCACATTTTGTACAATGGAAATAAAATGTTCCCTGTATTACAGAGGCCCAACTCGTGTTAACTAGAAGTCAGGCATTTAGTGTTGCTGATTCTGTGCTGTGGAACACTCCAGCAAATATTCTTCAGGCATCGTCACTTTTGAGTTTCAAGCGTCTCTTAAAGACTTATGCCAATAGGCCTTGGCAGCTGTTTATTTTATTTTATTAGCCAGTGACCTTAACCCCTTCATTTAAAAAAAAATAAAATCATGTTTTAATGCCACCATTGGATTCTATGATTTGGCATTGTAGAAATTCTATCAATATAAATCACATAAATATACATAATAGTGGCCAGTTTCACCGGGGTAGGAGAGCAAGTTATATGTTGTATAGAACATACATTTAAAGTCTTTTATGAAATGATTAACAGCAATAATGTTTCATTTGAGAAATAGATTTTTTACCTAGTACCCTGGCAGCCCAAAAGTTTTCATTTTGTCCTTGCAACAGCTCTCAAAAGGGAGACACGTTTTCCCATGCTAATAGGTATAAAGTGGCTATTTCAATCCACTAATTCACTAGCTATCACCCCCTGCCCTCCGGTCTGCGTGACGTTAGCCAGTGCTTTGAGTTTTGAATGCTTACAGATTTTTTATTTATGTCTTCTTTCAGATTGATTCATGGTGCAAAGAGAATAGCTATGTAATAGCCGGGTACTATCAAGCTAATGAACGTCTGAAAGATGCCAGGTATGTTGCTGCGACCCATTCAAAAATGGACGTGAGCCACATAAAGGGAGAGGGGCTTGGAGAGAGAGAGAGAGAGAAAGAAAGAACCGAATCAGAGGCTAACAAAACACCTAGTAGCAAATTCTTCCTGTAGCGCTGTGCTTGTGGCCTTGCAAAACAATAATTCCCAGGGCTCCTTAAGGGGAAGCTGTTACCATTGGTTTAGTTAAATGTGTAGGCCAGCTATCCCTGACCTGATGCTATGGGAATTGTAGTCCAGAAGGCACCAGATTGGTTGCAGAAGCCTTATTTTTATTTCTTAGGCTTTGCTTAATGCCTGATGCAATGAGGCCCATATCCCATGTCTCTGTGTTACAAGAACAGGAGGTTGGCCAGCATGAGTAAACAGAATAGAGGACTGGCAATGCCCAGCCACCATCAGTTTATTTCAAATTTGGTTTAGCTTTAGACCAAGGTTAAGGAAACTGTTGCCCTCCAGATGTTGTTGGACTCCTAGTCCAGTAAGTCCCAGCCAGTGTGGTGAGTGTTTTTCGGGATGAAGGGAGATGTTGTGCAACAATGTCTGTAGGGCCAGAGGTTCCCGATTCTTGCTTTAGGCCATATAAAACATTTCCTCTTGAGCACATCATCGGACATCTTATCAACATCTCTTCATTCAAGTGTTCCAATTTCATTATGATTGATTTGAAGAATAGCAGAATTGTAAGTAATTTGTGTGCTTTTTGTAGTCCAAACCAGGTTGCTGAAAAGGTTGCCTCCAGGATTGCAGAAGGCTTCAACGACACAGCCCTCATAATGGTATGTAATACCCCTCCCCCCACCCCGCTGCCTTTTTTCTTTATTTAGTGTACACTTCATGGCCATAGCTAATGACATCAATTGCTTAGATTACATTTTCTGAAATGTAAGTGCTTCAGTTATTTGCAAGTCTTGTAATACAACCCTCCCTCGCTGCCATGAAGTCACACCATCACCCTAAAGCAGTGTTCTTCAGAACTGTTTTCCAGAAAATCCTTCAGTTGCTCAAGTTTCTTCCATTTATTTAAAGTAAAACAAGAAGACAAGTAATGGTGGACAAAGCCCTATACTGTTTCTGACCTGGGTACTCTGATCACTGCCTTCTCTCTAAGAGATTGGGAACCACTACATAGTGGATATGGTCTTTCTCTCTGGCCTTTGGGACTCTTCCAAGACATGCCCCTCACCAGCCCTGCTCTGCACCCTCCACAAGTGTTTTTGCCTACCTGGAAAATGTCCTTGAGCTTTGCTTGCCTGGATGGAGACTAGAGAGAGGTGTCTTGAGAGTGAAGTAAGTAGCCTATTCTGCAAAGGTAAAATTCATATTAATTTCCCCACTTTGGCTTCTGGCCCCACCTACTAGTGGCAGGTGGCCCTCAGAAGATTGCTTGGAAGAGAATGTGGCCGCTGGACTGAAAAAGGTTCCCCACCCCTGCTCTACAACTATGTGTCTTTGTATTGAGATCACTGTCAGCGATGCTTTTTGAGGCCCTGGCTATTTGAGAACTAGCAACCAGCTATTGTTTTAGTGTGGATTGCTTTAATACTGTTTTATTGGCTGCCATCCTGATCATATTAATTGAATAGTAAACTGAATTAATAATGATGATGCTTATTTCCTTGAAAGTTTGTTTCCCCATCACTACAAAATTTATACCTGCAGTGTACAGCTGCAGGGAAACTGTCGAGTGTGTTCTAGATTGCATTCTGTCACCATGGAGCAATGGTTAACAGGCTGAAATTATGCCTTGCATTAAACAAGTGTGTGCCCTTAAAACATGCCCAAGTATCCTTTGCAACCTGCTAGGTGTCTGTGGCTGACCATCATGGATTCCTCAGCAGACAAAACAAGCTGGAAAGAGTTCCCTGAAGGTGGAAAGTTTGAAAACCACTTCTTTAACAGGAGTACGTTTCTAGTTCATTCTCCACATTTCCAACTTAATTTCAAGGGTCCATTTCCAGTGCATAAATTGTAAGGTTGTTCCAGTGTGTTTGTCTAGGTGAGAATGCTTTTCTGAATAGGAAGCTCCCTTCTACAGATTCAGAGCATTGGTTAATCTACCTCACTGTTGTCTACACCGGGGTGGGGAATCTTTTTCGGCTCAAAGGCTGCATTCCCTCTTAAGTAACCTTCCAAGAGCCAGAGGCAAAAGTTGGTGGAGCAGCAGCTGTGAATTTTACCTTTGTACAGTAGGCCTCTTTATCTTCCATCCAGACAAGCAAGAAGTATGATCTGCATTCAAGGTAGCATTCCAGTCAGGCAAAAACACTCAAGGAGGGTGCAGAGCAGGATTGGTGGAGGGTGTGGTTCCACAGGGTGTGTGGACTTGGAAGAGCCCTGACAACCAGGTAGAGAGGACAGGTGTTCCCCATACCTGGCCTACACTGGCTGGCAGTAGTTCTTCGGGGATTCAGGCAGGGGAACATTTCCCAGTTCTACTTGGAGCTGCCAGGGATTGAACCTAAGACCTTTTGCATGCAAAGCAGACATTCTGCCACTGAGCTTTCTGTTCCCTCTCTCTGTTCTGCATCAGGTGGATAATAGTAAATTTACAATGGAGTGCATAGAACCAACTGTTCATGTGTACGAACATCACGAAAACAAATGGAGATGCAAAGACCCGCACTTGTGAGTATTCATAGAACAGACCTTTGCTCCTAAGCAGCATTTACATTTTTATATTTAGTATATTTTACCTTGAAACAAATCCTGAGTTTGGAATGCTTCCAAAATAAGCAGCTGGCTATGAGTATGAAACAGTCAGTGCAAAAATATATAACGTACAATCAATACAAGCACACAGCAAATCCAAACAATGAATTAATTCAGCCTTCTTCAACCTGTGCTGGTTGTCTGGGACTGATGTGACTTCTATTCTGAAACATCTGGAGGAGTCAGTTTGGGCAGCTGAATAAAGTAGTTTTTTGCTATTATCCCCAAACCAACTTGATAAATAAAGAACAACATTTTAATGACCTAGATCCAGTGTTAACCTAATAAAATTTCAGATCTGCCTAATTGAATAATATTTCAAACTGCAAAGCCAACAAACTCAGAACAGCAGCATAGTGTATGAAACATCTTACCAAAGGAAATTGTTAGGCATGGAGGTGGGGCAGGGGGAAGAGAGGAAGGAGGGTTCAGATGTGAAACAACCAGAGTAGTATCCATTGGGAACTAATCACAGTCAGCTTTTGAAAGGTTTTCTGCTCTCCAGAGTTTTTCTAACATGAACAAATAATGTGCAGGGCCTGTCCATGGTATGTGAAACAGTTTAAGGGTGATACCTCTCTATGCCCCTGCCACTGGCCTTGTTAGGATGCAACACTAAGCTCTTGTTCATCCTAGCCTTCCCCAGCCTGGTGCTCTCCAGATAGTAGAACTACCAACTCCCATCAGCCAACACAGCCATGCTGGCAGTAGCCTGTTGGGAGTCATAGTAAAAAATGTCAGGGGGGCATCAGGCTGGAGAAGGTGCCACCAAGAGGAGCAGGAGGAGGCGATCAGAAGCTTTCACTGAAACAAGCCAGATTCATAAACCACGGTTTGAAGTTGCCCTCTTTTAATAAACCATTACTAAGACTGGCCACTGTTTGTCCAGGTTTGAACATAATGCTGTACTGTGCCTAGTTAAAAACAGAAGCATAAGCTTTGAATCTCCTTGTGACTGAGATGGAAGAAGAGAAGGGAGAGGGAAGGGAAGGGAAGTTAAATGAGCGAATTCATCAATGCAGCATTTAAGTCATAGATGTAGCACTGCATCTGAATAAGGTCTCTGTGTGAATTGTAGCTCTGTGAGGGCTGTCTAGCAAATACTTCAAACAGGTGCACCTCTCTTGTAACTCCCAGGTTTCCTCAGGGTGAGTCATTTTGACTGAAGTGTTTTTTGTTTTTGTTTTAGTTCGTAGTGTAGCTGACCCTCTGCTTGTCATTATGCATTGCTGATATATTTTTCCATTGCTTTTACTCCAGTGGACTTGGAGGCTGGTTGGTTCCTCCTGAGAACCATTAATTCTTTACTTTTTTTCTTGCTTCCTAGTGATTACTGTGAAGACTGGTCAGAAGCCCAGAGGATCTCTGCCTCACTTCTGGACAGCCGGTCCTATGAAACACTAGTAGATTTTGATAATCATTTGGATGACATCCGGAATGATTGGACAAATCCAGAGATTAATAAAGCTGTCCTGCACCTCTGCTAGGGAGTCTCCCATTGACTTGATTTGTTGGCATTTCCACTGTGCTGATGAAGAAGAAACAAAAGGGGGAGATGAATACTTTTTGAATGTAAATAAAGTACTAAAACGGTTCCTTCAAGTGATGTGGAAAGCCAATGAGTGAGACACATCACTTGGGAGAGAGAGAGAGAGAAAAAAAAAGGATGTGTCACTATGCAGTCAAATCTTTTTAATGAGAATCCTTGAGGTTCCAACCGTAGTTTGCAGATTCCTCTGTGGACTCTTCTCCTCCTCGGCATAATACGTTGCTGTAATTCTCCAGCCGGGAACTAGATCCACTTATCCAAGCTATTCATATTAAAAAGTTTTGACTAACCTTTTATAACCTTTAGAGAGTAATTTTTAAAAGATTTAAGATTTATGAAATATCTTCCAGAGAGTTAATTGCTAGTTTTATTTTTTAAAGAATCAAATCTATAACTATAAGTGAAAATACGTGGCCAGTTTGAGAGCTGTTGTTCTAAGTGCTAACTGCTGGGTGTTGTGTGCCACCGTACTTGTTGCTATGACATGCTGCACAGGAAGAAAACAATAGCTTGACAAGCAATATACCCACCAGATGCTGCCAAGTTTCTCTGTCGTTCTGAGAATGCTGCAATTTTTCTGCCTATCAGACTCAAATGTAATGAGCCTGGTCGTTTTTCACCATGAGTGGTTTGCCCATACCAAGGGCTCGTTGTGTCTTGAAGTGTTTAAAAAAAAAAAGTGAGTTGCAGGATTGTTCTTTGTTCTTGTTGTTTGTTTCAGGAGTGCTTCTCTTAACCTTGTGGTTAGAAGAACCTTGTAACTTCTGTACAAATGCACACCCATGTGGTATAAACAAGATTACAACTATGAATTTCAGTTCCTCTCATTTTACTGACTACATTCAGACATAGTTATGAGCGCAACAGCTTTTGGCCTCAGGCTCATGAACTCCCTCTTCACCTTCTCCCTTCCTCCTACATGTTTTGCAGAAAACCATAGTTTCTATTTTGTCTGGACCTGTCTGGGGATTCTGGTTTGCAGAAATCATAGTTTGCCAGGGATCAGACGAAACGGTGAACTGTGGTTTAGTGTAAGCTTGCAAGAGAAGTTTTAATCTCCCGTCCCATGGAGGAAGGGAATGTGCGAGTCTGAAATTTGTCATTGCATCTGACTGCAGCCATTTTGTGATGGTATAGTTGTATTTAAGCACTGCAGAAGTTAAAAATAATAATAAACACACAAATATGATGGGACGCAGCTCAAATCAAAGCTGCGTTGAAATGATTAGGAATTGCTCATGAACATGCCTGAAAGTCTTTTATGGGAGGCACTCCTGTTTGTTAACGTCCTTTATGTCATGCAAACAATCTTTATAAAGTGAGTTTCAAACAGTTACACTTAGTACTGAGCCACTTTTGCCCATTTGGAAAAGGCTTGTAATATAATACTGTAGCATAAAAGAGTCTTAAAATGCTTACATGTGTCAGTTTAGGGTTTTTTCTTTTCTTTTTCTCTCTACATTTACCTCTTGATGGAGAAGGGGTGTGGCATCTTCCTTGTCATTATTTTACATGTATTTTGTTTGTCTTTTCTATTCCTACGGACCCTGTATTAGCTTAACCTTTATTTATAACACATTCTACATTTTAAGCAGAAATGGTTTGAGGTTTTATGTTGGGAGAAAAAAATGTTTAGCTGACCACCTGCATTTCCTTGCTCCTCCCCCCCCCCCCATCACCTTGAAAATAAAACCAATGAAATAAGTATGGCTTTTGTAATGATTTGTGATTCCGAGTATGTAGTCCAGATGTGTCTACTCTGACTGGGGCTGATGGGAGTCTTAACTGCAGCCAAAGGGCTACAGGTTCCCCACACCCAATGTGACAAGTGTTACTAGAGCTAAATTTAACACCTAGTTGTTGTAGCATGGAGGAATTCTCCTGGTTCTGAAATCTAGACTATACTGCTTTGGAAGGTAGAAGGCAGAACAGAGCCCGGAATATGAATGCATCGTTAACTGAGGTGGCCGCTTAAAAAATTTCTGCTCTCAGGAAACAGCTTTCATTTCGCCCTAAACCTTGGCCTGTCATGCAGTTGGCTGGGCCCACCCTCCCTCTTTGTGTAATGATCTGAAGTCCTCTGATGATGCCAAATGATGAGTGTGTGTTGAGTGCAGTGCATAGAGGAGATTTTAATGTAGTGGCAACTTGCATTTTATTGTCAATTGGAAAACATTCTACAGATGGAGATATTGCTTGGCTTGCATTTAACTAACAGCTTTGCTGATATTCATGTTTAGGTTGATTGCTCAGAAAAGAGCAGAAGGCGTGATGGGCCAATAGAGTCAAAGGCATAATGCAGGTTGCCTCTTCTCTCTGCTTTTCAAACCCTGTTAGCATTACCTTTATTTTCTGCTCGCAGGGGTTCCCACTAAGTGCACTGAAATACTGGCTTCCAAAGTTTGCTACACTCTGCTTCCTTCCCAGATATGTGGGCTTTATAATCACCTGGGCACATGAAAGCAGCATTGCGTGCTCTGCTAATGGCTTCTGAAAGGAAAGCATTATCTGACTTCTGGATTCTTATTATTTATTTGAAAGATTTATAACCTGCCCTTTCATTTGCATTGCTCAGAGCAGCTTACAACAATGATTAAAATGCAGGCCTACAGTTGAACAATATAAAAGGTGTTATGCTGTCTTCAGTGTAAGGTTTTCCCAGCTGGGGGATGGAGGTGGAAAGAGATCTTAAATATTTATTAAGGTAAAATTTACATTCATTGCTCTTCCCATTTTTGCCCCTGGCACTGCCAGCCACTGCTATATGGCCCCTCAAAGGTTGCTCAGCAGGAAATATGGTCCTCAAGCTGAAAAAAAAAGGTTCCCCAGCTTTGGTCTAATCAGACTGGCAGTGTCTCTCGATTAAGTTTTCAGACAGGAGTCTTTCCCTATCTTATCTGGAGTTGTCTGGGACAGCACACAAAATGCTATAGCCACTAATTTATGGCCCTTCCAGGTGAACAATCAGTGGCAGTGAGTGAATAGATCAAGGCACTTTCCCAAAATCCGTAGGAGCGGCCTTCAAATCCAACTGAAGTCCCAGCACTTGCGAAGTCACAGGAACTCATTAGGAAAGTCATAATGCATCATTGATCCACTCTCCCCCATAATGCTAGTTTGTAAAAAGCTGTGATCATCCACTGATTAATTGAACAGAATATGCCCAGGCACGCAGCCTTTGCAAACTCAATGAATCATTCAGACTCCAGCCTCTGCATTACCCCAGAGACGAGGAATGTGTTGATTTCCTGGAAAATGCTTTGGCTTGATAAGGATGATGGAGGAGGAGGAGGCCATACCCCCAGACACTCGAAGTATTTGTGTTTTGCTTTATTTAGTCATATCTTGGGGATCTGAAGCTCACTCACTAGGATGTCTTTTTGTTTAGGAGCTGCTGCCGTTTCTTTCTGGCAGGGATCCCAGCTACATGTGAGGCAGGGTGCGTGTAACAGCTGAGGCTCCCCTGCCACCAAGATGCAGTAACAGTGGAAAATTTCGCCTGCTGACATTTATCTTCTGTCACGCACCTGTTCAGAGCCACAAGGGACCAGAGTAGGTCTTACATAGCAACCATATTTTTGTGAACTTTAGGGGCACCTAATGTTCCTAATTATCTGAGCAGAACCATTCCAGCTTGCTGTCGTTACAGAGTGACGGTGGAGTGGCTTCTGCTTATTCATTCAAAGGCCTAAAGCTGCCCCATATCAAAAAACTTGGGGAAAGAACCAGCCTTGCCTTTGTAAAACAAACCTCTTTCCTAGCACGCCTGTGTTTATTCAACGTATTAAAAGTTACCAGATTCTTTTTACTGATCATTGGGGGAATTCTTAAATACCGTATTTTTCGCTCTATAAGACGCACCAGACCACAAGACGCACCTAGTTTTTGGAGGAGGAAAACAAGAAAAAAAATATTCTGAATCTCAGAAGCCAGAACAGCAAGAGGGATCGCTGCTCAGCAAAAGCAGCGATCCCTCTTGCTGTTCTGGCTTCTGGGATAGCTGCGCAGCCTGCATTCGCTCCATAAGACGCACACACACTTCCCCTTACTTTTTAGGAAGGGGAAAAAGTGAGTCTTATAGAGCAAAAAATACGGTAAATGTTACCACTATCCCGCAGAACCTTGTGCTTCCTTTCCACCTGTTTTTGGATCTCCAAAGCAATTGCCGGCTCCAGTAAACTCCATGCAAAACCCACATTAAAATAATAAAATGCCACTTTAAAATAAGGTACAGATTAGAACATAGTAAGAGCCCAGCTGGACCAAGTCAAAGACCCACCTAGTTCAACATCCTGTTCTCACAGGAGCAAACTAGATGCCTCTGGGAAGCCAGCGAGCAGAGTATGAGTGCAATGGCACTGTCCTGCTCACGTTCCCCACCTGCTGCTATTCAGAGGCATACTCCCTCCGACACTGGAAGTAGGACACTGCCATCATGGCTTGTAGCTGTTGATAGCCTTATCCTCAATGCATTTCTCTAATCCTCTTTTTAAAAGCATCCATCCTGTGGTAGTGAATTCTGTTGTTTAACTATTCACAGTGTGAATAAGGTACGTACTTTTATCTGTCCTGATAAAAGTTTAGCTTCTTTGGATGGCATGGCTAAAATAAACTTAGTCCTCACAAGCCCAGTGAAGAATTTACTTCCTAAAGGTTAGAAGGGAGCCACTGGTGAGAGTCTCAAGGGGAAGAGCATGTCACATAGGGGAGCCACCACCAAAAAAGGCCCTGCTTCTTGTGCCTGCCATGAACCGTCACATCCATGGAGTGTGATCCTCAGTTATTTGCCATAAGGTCCCAGGGCAGAGAGTTATTTGAAAAAAATCATTAAACAATCACAACTGCAAAAAAAGAGTAAAACTTGTAATAACCAGAACAGTGTAATTAAACAAATGAGGTGTGTCCCACAAAACAACTGTCAAAAGCCAGGAGAAAGAGGCAAGTCTTCCAAAATGCAGTGAAAACTATCAAATGAATGTGTCAGATGCACCTCTGCAAGGAGAGAGTCCTACAGTGTAGGGGCCACCACAGAGAAGACCCTCTCCTGGGTCTCAAGTCATATGCATAGATGTAAAGGGAGGGGATGTAAAAGTTGGGGTTAAATTCCAGCGGAATGAAACAGGAAACCATTCAGCTATGTTTTACTCAGAATAGACCCCTTGAAATTAATGCGCATGACTAAGTTAGGCCCATTAATTTCAATGGGTTCTACTCAGTAAAGCTTAGCTGGGTCTCTCTTCAGACCCAAACAAACAGAATGTAACTTTTGGATAAGCTGCAATTCAGCATTATCACATTGGAGTTTCCCTTCTTAGTTTCCTTGTTCCGTGATGGCTACCTGAAGGCCTGTAACAGAATGGCCTGGTACATTGTGAGACCCTCTCTAAAATAGCTGCCATACAGAACTTCAGAAGAAAAAAGAAATATTGATCTGAGCTGCCATTTAGGGCATGAATTCTCAGCCACAGAGCCTATGGAGTAATAGTGAACACTATTGTAGCGCATGGGGCAGTTCAGTGGCAGAGCATATGCAGAAAGTCGAATGCCCAAAATTCCATCTCGTAAATGACCCAGATATCCACATATACATTTTTATTTAGGACACAGCTCAGTGATGGAGCAGCTGCTATACATGCAGATGGTCTCATGTTCAGTGCCTGGCATCTTCAGTGAAAAGGATCTGGTAACAGAGAATGGGAAAGAATTTTTTTTTCCTGCCTGGAAAGTCACTGCCAGTCATAGCAGACTGAGGATGGGGAACTTCTGACTCTCCAGATGTTGGGACTACAACGCCCATCAGACCCGGATAGCATGACCAGTGGCCAGGGATGATGGGAGTTGGAACCCAGAAACATCTGGAGGGCTGCAGGTTCCCTACTTCTGCAGTAAACAGTACTAAGCTGCGTTGACCAATGGCCTCTTTCCAGTTACGATGACTCGCAAAGAAAGCGAGCCTGTGCAGGCTCAGTAGGAACAGAGGAAGCTGCCTTATACTGAGCTGCACCATTGGTCACTCCATCTAGTCCAGTACTGTCTACACTGACTGGCAGCAGCTCTCTAGGGTTTCAGGCAGGAAGGTCTTTCCCAACCCTGCCTGGAGATTCCAGGAATTGAACCAGAGACCTTTTGCATGCAAAGCAGATGCTCTACCACTGAGCTGTGACCTTTCAGCTATACATTTCCTACATTACTGTGGGGGAAATGCAAATGGGGTAACTAATCTGGTGCCCACCAATGCTTTGGACCACAACTCTGTCTTGTGGGCCAAATTTGACCCTCATTTGGCTGGCAAGCTCTGTCCCACAAACTACGGGCACCTTCCTGCCCCACCCCCAACACCATATGTGATGTCAGGTGTGCGTCAGGTAGGCACTTGGCCGGATCATGTAGCTGGGTAAACAGGATTGAAGTCCCAAGCACATCAGCTGATGGATGAGGCATTCAATCCTGCTTGGGTTGGGTGCTCAAGAAAGTTCTCTGCAGGAAGTCTCTGGTGCACTGGGATCCTGCAGAAAGCAATCCTAAGCTCTCTCTCCTCATCAGCTGAAATGGGGGGAAAGATAAAGATCTGACCCACTGGACCAAAAATATTCCATGGCTTAGATGGGCACTCCAGCAAACGAACTCACCTTCCAGGACAGCCCAAGTGGCTTCAGTGGTCAAGGGCCATGTACACACCACATATTCAAAGCACATTTTCCCTTCCCCACAAGAAGAAAATGGCCTAGCTAGTCCAGCATCCTGTTCTCACAGGGGCCAATCAGATGTCCCACAAACAGGACCTGAGCCCAACAGCCCTCTCCTCTCCTGTTTTTAGCAACTGGTGTTCAGAAGCAGACTGGAAGCAGCGCACAGTCATCTGGCAGAGATCTAAAGCCTTATCCTCTGTGAATTTGTCCAATCCTTTTTTTAAAGCCATCCACGTCAGTGGCATGTTGAGTTCCTGCAAATAATAATGGGAACTGTAGCCTGTTAAGGGTTCTGGGAATTGTAGCTCCACTAAAGGCTAACTGTAACTCCCAGGATTCTTGGGGAGGAAAGTGCTTTCAGTAGAAAATCTCAATAAATATCTTATTTTTTTAAAAAAGGAAAGTGCTTTCAGTATATGGTGTGTGCCCAGGTTTCTTGAGCACATTCGCCTGCCTGGTGGTGCCAGCTGGGTCTCTCCACACCCACCTCCGCATCCCTCCCATCCTCAGCTTGCTTTGCCGTCTCTCTCCAGCTCTGTATGTTACTATATGTCTCGGGATGCACCAGCAAGTTAGCCATCCTCCCGCAGCTCTTGGCAGAGACCAGCAAGGGGAAAAGCCCTTTGGCCAGGCATTGCGGCAGCTGCTGAGATGAGGCTGGAGAGAGGGAGGGGTGGAAAGGCGAGGAGGGGGCACACAGTGCCTGGTAGCCTCCGCCCCTCCCTCCCTCCCTCTCTCTCTGCTGGCCCGGCCAAGAGCTGGAGGTGGTCCCCGAGACAGCAATATGTAAATCGCCCTGGTCCTGCCTCCGATTCCTGCCAGCTGCAATCATCTCCCTCTCGCTGGGCTGGCAGCGATGTCAGGCGCTGCAACTGGGAGAAGCAGCAGCAGCAGCAGCAGAGCCGGGGCTGGGATGCCGCCGGCGGCCACCGCGGCTGGGCTGGGGCCACTGGAGGGGAAGGCGGCGGCTGCCTGCAGAGCTGGTGAGTTGCTGCCCCCCAAGAATCTCGAGGAGGAAGCTCCTGCCCCTCCCTGGCGCGCTCTCCCTCCTGTTATTTTCATGCTTGCTGGTTTGGCTTCAGGGCTGGGTGGAAAAGGATAAAAGCCCTTTTCTAAAACTTGGATGGGAGAGTTAATCCTGCTGCTGTGGCTGCTGTTTCTCCCTGGCTCAGTACCACCACCACCTGCCCTCTTTAGGAGCCGCTTGAGTCTTGGATTCAGCCTGGGAGCCAAGGCTGTGGATTCTGATCAGGAAACCAGGGAGGCTGCAAGTCTAACGGGCTGCCCTCTCAGCTTCAAGAACTTTGCCTTGGTTTTTGTTCTGAATTCGTGTGGGGTCCTGCCCGTCGCGTTTTCGTGGCTCCTTTGCGACCACGATCATCATCATCACATATTATTATCGTTGCAATTGGAAAGGCTGTAGCTCAGGGTTAGAGCATCTGCTTTGCATGCAAAAGATTCTAAGTTCAACCCCTCTGTCACTCATACTGAATGAGAAGGACCAATGGTCTGGCTCGATAGGACGCAGCTTCCTATGTTCCTGTTCAGATCAATGAGGACTAGAATCTTACTTTCTCTTAATGGCATAGCTCAGTGGCAGAGCATCTGCTAGGCATGCAGAAGGTCTGAGGTTCAATCCCTGGCATCTCTAGGTAGAGTTGGGAATGTCTCCTGCCTGAAACCCTGGAAATCCTCTGCCAGTCAGCAAAGACAATACAGGGCACTATAGACCAGCGCTCACCCTTTATAAGGCAGCTTCCCATGTGGAACCTGCAGCAGAACGTTTGCTCTTGTTCTGGGTGACAGCCAGCCATGCCCTTTTACACAATACTCCATTCCATTTTCAGTCCCGATCTTTTACCCTAACAGACATTCAGGAAGACCAATGAGCATACTCAATTCTCACTGAGTTGTATGGGGGTGGTTTCCCCCTAAAGTTTTTCTTTTGGGGGGGGGATATTCTTCTGCAAACCTTTGTGTTCTCTTCTGATGCTTCCCTCTTGTGTGTGGAAGGGTACCATTTTGGCTCCATGTGGATTGGTGGAGGCACTCAAACAAATGAGTTTGGTTTACTATACATGGGGTGCTAATTAGTGTTAGGATTGTGGTTATATGCAGCACTTTATGGGGCTCAAAGTACTTTCCACACATGATCCCAAGGCTCTAACCTGGTGGCAGTGAGGGGGCCATTCTCAGTGATAGTACCCCACTTATGAAACTCCATCCCAGGTGAAATCAGAACATTCTAGGTATGTTCAGGCACAATTTGAAAACTCACCTTCTTTGTCCAGATCTGGGATCATGATTGGTGTAAATGTGGTATTTTCTGCAGCTATTGATGTAGATCTTTTTAATCTTTGGGGTTGTCACCAGATAAGTTCTACTCAGAGTAAGCTCATCAAAATCACAAGTAATTTAGTTCCATTGATTTCATTGGGTCTACACTCCTTGGATACAACCCTTTTTAAACAAACAAACAAACAATGAACCTGTTTTCATAATTACAACAACTCTGCAGGGTGGGCAATTATTATTATTCCCATAATGCAGCTTGAAGGGGAGGAGATGTGAAGGAGATGGAAAGAAAAAAAGTGGCTTCCTAAGGCCACCTCTGCCTGCATAACCTGGCTCTAAAGCACATCTCACCACAAAGTATCATGGGAATTGTGGTTCTGTGAGGGATAAACTACAAATCCCAGCACCCATAACAAACTACAGTTCCCAGGGGGTTGTCCCTCTGTAAGGGTGCTTTGAATGTTGTATGCTGTGAGCTAATGGCAGGGGTGCACTTTGGACCAGGGATTCACTGCTGTTACCACACCCGCTAATAGGTACAAATGATTGTATTCAACTAAGTTCTTCTCAGAACTGATCCAGTAAACCAATTAACATTACTCACATAGTCACTTACATCCCAGTGGGTTGTCTGAGTAAAACTTAGTTGGATACTACCCAAAGTTTTGCTCATTGCATGTTACTGTGCTGGAATATAAGCTCACTTAGGGTTGTAAATCAATTCAGGGTTGTGGGGGGGGCATATATGTGGAAAAGGAACTATATACCAGAATCCTATCCTTTTAAGCACCATTTTTAAGCCAGAGATGTGTAACAGACATGATGTATTGCTCTTACCTATGTCTTGCTTGTTTCAATGGGCTTGCAGAGAGGAGAGGTTCCCTGTGTGAACAGCAGTTGCTTCTAGGATATTATCAATGGACAAATATTTCCGGTAGCTTTTCAAAGTCTCCTCCGTCCCCTCATTTTCTGGTCTCTTTTATGAGATAAGAATGTTTGTGGATCTGCCCTTTCAGAAAATTAAGTGGTTAAAAACGAGACTATTGATATTCACAGTTGTTTTATGTAGCCTCATTGATTTCGGGTAGCCTTGCCAAGCCCAAAAGTTGTTTGCTTTCTTACACAGGCAGTGAGTGGACCAGGGCTGAATGGGATTTTAGAAAGCAAGGATACAATTGAGAGCATGGTCTTGTTCCATCTTCATGATGTCTTTGGAAATAATCTTTCTCTCTTTCTTTCTCATGGGCCAACCGCTTTGTAATTTGTCTGATTTTCAGTTCCTCTCCAAAAGGGTGGTTGTTGGCCCATCACTAGCCATTAATCTGTTGATATTGATTGCAAGACTGAGTTGGTCATTGGACAAGAGGGACACTTGTCCTAAGAAAGGATATAAAGAGCTGGAGGGTGACGGCAGAGATTTCTGGAAATTATTGTGCAGGGAAAGTTTTTAAGAAGGAAACTGGTGCAAAGACCATGATGTCCTTAGATGTATTCATAGCCAGTTCTGTATGTCCTCTTCAGAACTGGCAAAACAGGTCCAACTTTCTCTTTATGTCGGAACATGAATGGTGATTGGATGCACTATTCCGGGCTTCCTCAACCTTGGCCCTCCAGGTGTTTTGAGACTACAGTTCCCATCTTCCCTAACCACTGGTCCTGCTAGCTAGGGATCATGGGAGTTGTAGGCCAAAAACATCTGGAGGGCCAAGGTTGAGGAAGCCCGCACTATTACAATACTGATTGTCACATGGTCCCTACATAAATATGCTCTCTCTTCCTGGAACTGAGGGTTGATTTTTCAGGGAAAGGGGATAGGGGAGTGCAGAGCTTTTACCTCAACAAATTTAATGTTGTTTGCTGAAAGTGGGATGGAACACCCTCAAGTGGGACCACAATATAATCACATTCACCATCCGCTAAAACAAATTAGAAGACAAAATAAGTGGGACCTGAAACAAAATGTGTCACTGTGGAGAGATCCTGTCCAGGATTCTGACTAGCCAGCCTCGTCCTTTACCTGAATTACTCTGTCCATCCTCCTCAGTCAGCATTTCATACCTAGAGAACATTAAGCTGTTTTGTGGAGGGTTGCCCCTGTAGGTGTTGTTATTTTCCCTGCCTCTAGAGATTTTACTTCTGCAAATTTTTAGCATCCCTCAAACCTGGTGAAACCTCATTTTATGTGTGAATGGTGCCAGTTGGCTACATAAGAATCCATACCCAGAGAATGATTTAACTTTTGTGACCTCAAGGGATTACATCCTGCTGGGAAGAGGATCACACAGGCAATGCAGGATTAAATCTTCTCTTCCTGCCAATCAGTTGCTATCACCAGAGATGTCAGCTGATGGGCAGGTGGTCATGGTTTGGGGGAAATGAGCTGCAGGCCCACAGAAGTCCCCCACCCCTGAGCTCAGTGGTCAAGGTGGGATATAAGGGTTTATTTACTTATTACTAAATTTATATTCTGCCCTTCCTCCCAAAAAAGAGGTTAGGGCAGCCAGAGATAACAGATACTAAGTGTGGTTCAGAACAAATGAAGATTGGTCTTTTCACTGACAATGTGATGTTAATTCTTGGGAATATATCTGAGTGTAAGATTAGCTTGAATAAATAAAACAAAAATAATTTCACATGTTCAGCATGTCATTTGACTTGAGACCACCATGACAATGTAAGTCTATCAAACTACCAGAACAGGTTGCCCTGAAAAACTCTGGAATCTTTCCTTTGTGTGGAGATGGGTTCATATTCCAGGATATATGAACCCTGAGTCAATTACATCCAGTGCCCCTTGCCAGCTCTACCTGGGGGCTCTAAAGTATGAGGAGCACGATGTCAGTTTCCACCCCTTTTCATGAGGAAAGAACATCAAGTTGCATATCAAATAAAAGCCACTTTTTATAATTGGTTGAGGTGATGCCCAATGCCAGCATGATAGCAGCTAATCAGAAGTTAATGATTAAATGCAAACCTGCACCTGTTAGTCATAGAGCTAAACCTTCTGATATTGACACAAGTTCTCCTTACTATACCATCCAATAAAGATAACAGACGTGGAAAATGTTCTGCTAGATTGAACCTTGCAGAGATTTTGCTGGGCCAAAGCCCTGCTCAACATTCAGCTGGGCTTGAACTGGCAATAGAGTCACAGCGGGGAGGGTTAGATCAAACAATGGCTATGAAAACAAATGGGGCTGAATTTCATCAGAGACTAGTCTACCTTTTGTTGAATTGCACTGTCTCAACTCACACATCAATGAGTGCTGTGGATCTATTAGCTATTGTTAGGGATGTTAAGTTGGCAGAAGTGAGTCAGGAGCCCCTAGTTATCCAGTGGCTGTTTTCCCCACCACTTTTTTGCACTCTGCAATCAAATCCTTAATAATGTAAAGAAGGGTTTCTCAAATGCAGTCAAGCTCTCCTCCTTTTCATGAAAAGTCCAGCATTATTTTTTTTTAAGAAGTGTCTTCTACAAAGATCAAGCCCTCTGACCCCCTTCAAAGCTTGGTGCTATAAGATGGCTTTTTGAGAGGATGAAACGGATTCATGGAAGAGGGCAAGTCTATCAAGGGTTAGTAGTTACAATGGCTAGCAGGCAACCTTCCATTTCAGAGGCACTAGGCTTTTGGATTCTGTGTTGTGAGTGGTGTCAGTACAATACAGCTACACAATGCATCCCCTGCAGATGATGCCCAAGCTACCCACGCTCATTGACCTTGAAAGAGGAAAGGATTGGAGCTTCTTCTCCTATAAGTACCTAAGGAGAGCCCTGCTGGATCTGGCCAGTGGCCCATTGAGTCTGTAACTGGGTCTTCACAGGTGTCTGGAAGAAGCTCACAAGCAGGACCTGAGTATAACAACATGCTCCCCTCCTGCAGTTTCCAGCAACTGGTATTCAGAAGCATATTGCCTCCGACGGTGGAGGCATGCAACAGATTGTCAAAGCATGAAATGAACTGCAATTTTTGTGCCTGCCAGAACACTTGGGAACATAGGTAAACGTCTTACACCAAGTTAGGCTCATTGGTCCATCCAGCACAGTATACCACGAGTGTGGAACCTTTTTGGCTCCACAGGTCAGATCATGATCAGGATCTGGCTCACAGGCCAAGTTTGACAGGTGGGTAGGACTGCCCACATGCCAGTAACATGATGGCATTAAGACATTACATCCTGTTTACCCCCTCCCTTTAAACCTGGTTGTCCCACCTTCCCTTTTAAGCTCAGTCTTGCTGTGATCTTAAAGATGGAGGGAAAGAGATTTCTAAGGGCTTTTGCAAGACTTGCAAAGGACTGTGGGGTTCTCCTGTCTCTCCATCCCCTTAAAAGGGAAAGCGAGGGGAGTTCTGCACT